GCTTAATACATCAAAGGTGACAATGAATATATATATATATACTTATATGAATATGTTGTCAAAATGATAGAGGCAAAACCGTAAATGGAATCGAGGTATAAATGGTTGACATGTTTAAAGCAAAACGGTAAAAGGAATTGATACGCGTGCACATTTTTTCCTCAGACGGTAGAGGTACGATAAAAACATGCGGTAAACGCTCAACCACACCTTTTCGCGCGGATTGTGAAGCATTTTTCTATCATAGATATTAAGCATAGTTATTAATCATAGATGTTACAGTAACCATAATATTGAGGGTCTTAGACTAAGAAACGCTTCAAAACGAAAAACAGCGCTCAGCATCCATGCCGGGAATGTCTCAGTTTCGTACTCCCACATGCTCGCATTGGGAATCACCTCAGGATCAGCAGCTGCTTGAACACGTGCACCTTTTCCGAAAGCGCCAAACTCTATAAGGCTAAAATACCATCAGTATCTCTGGCAACCTTCTGGCAATCAAACATGACAATGGACAATTCATGAGAATTCACCATACATCATTCACATACCACTAAGATAGGATTTTTAGACAACATTAAATAATGATAAATATATCCCATCATGTTACAGACCATTTTCCCCATTCAAAAAACACAGTTGTTTCCCATTGCCAGGTTGAACACTACCACAGGTTGGAGGGTCATCCCACTTAGCAACTGTTTTAAGGTAACCCTGGCTGATGAGTCCCTTTGAAGTTGGTTAGATCGATGGGTTATAACTATGGGACTGGTGGTTGACCAACCCCTCTGAAAAATGATGGACTTCGTCAGTTGGGATGATGAAATTCCCAACTCAATGGAAAGTCATAAAATTCCATGGTTCCAAACCACCAACCAGAGTAACATGTTAGAACTATGGTTGCTAACCAGTTACGATCCGCAGGATGATCCTCCGAGTACATCCTGCAGGGACCCTCACCCCGCTACCAACTGATGGCAGAGCAACGTAGCTTGCCCCAGCTGCTCTGGTCTGCGTAGGTCCAAGGCGGACCCTGTCAACGCATGTCAACGCAGGGGATAACCAATAAACATGGAGATGTAACAACATGGACATGCAACCAATCGACATTGGGATTCATCATCAAACAACCATAATATGAAACCTCCAAATGATAAACACTACCCCAGATTGTTTGTTTTGAGAATTTCAAATTGGCCCATATGTTTGTTAATTGATTCCCGTATTCACAAAACAATTTAAAGATCAAGGTCCTCTTTGGAGTTTCTACCCCCAATACTCAAAACTAGTTCACCGTAGGGTGTTTTTTTTATTAGGGTCTGTAAAATTCAATACTGAAGTTTTTTAAAGATAGTTTTGACTTAATATTAGCGGAAAGTTTCGAATTCCAAGCTTTGGCAATATGTTGCTTAGATTAGATATGTTTAAATTTAAAAAAGTTCAATTTTGAAATCAAACATTTTTGTTTCGAATTGACATGTTTAAACTGTTTTGAATTGATACTAGGGGACAGCTTCAAACCTTAATACTGAATACCCCTAACAATAAATAATACCCCTGGGTCTTAAATTATGCTATTTAGGGGGTGGGAGTTTAATATTATATAGGGAGGGAGGGATTGGTGACAACTAACCCCTCGAACCATCGCACTTATACAAAGTTGCCGACTCTATTTTGCAAAGGGACGCTTCGAGCCCATCAAAGCAAGACACACAAATTTTGGTGTGGGTTAGTATGGAATAAATATGGGTTTTGTATGGTTTTGTATGGCGACTAAGCTAAATATGGGTTCACAAAAAAAGTTTCTTGAAGAAATGCTGCTAGTCCAGACATTCGCATTCAATAAAGTCATCCTACTGTTTCCTTTTTCTGAAATACAAGCTGTCCCCAACTTGGCCAACAAGTGCTGACATCTGCGGACACATTTTTTCTCCTTCTCGGTCCCCATCTCAGCCGTGCCTCCGTTGTTTTGGATGGCTCCCCCGTTTGTTTATCAGCTTCCCTAATGGCTGAGTGCTCGCCAATCAAAGAGCCCCATCATTGCCAGCACCATGAAAGCACGCAAGACTTGGCTTGGTCCATGGATCGCATCGTTCCTTTTGGGACGATTTTGTCCCCTATGCGCGAGATGAATTTAGATTTTGTCACCTGAAAGTCAAACCAAGTGCTCGGAAAAAGGGGCTGGCCTTTTTCAGGTTGCCATTGTTCACAGTCACTGCCTCTTGGTCGGTCGGCAAAGTAGATGCAGGCCCCAAGCTACTGTTTCTGTCTTTTCCCCATTAGCACCCATACTTTTGGGCTTGAAAAAGCAAACAGCCCAGTTTTGCTGTTTTCCTGGATTTTAACTTCATGCGTAGCTACATGTGCATTTGGTTTGGCAGCCCTACGGTTAACTTGTTGGAACCAAGCGCGTTGAGAGAAGATGTGGAAACATCTCGCTGCCCCTGGTGAGAACGCATTGAGATTCTGGTATTGAGAACGATTCTTGTATTGAGAACGATTATGGGTCTGAGCACGTACCGGTTTTCATAGGTGCATCACCAACTCTTGGTGGTGCATGCTGGCGAAAACACTACATTTGACAGGACTGCCATGGTGAGCCCTAACCACACAAGACCTCACCCAATGCGCCAATGAACCCGCGCAACTGATCAGCAGGAGGATTGACCCAAACTCCGATTTTTATATACTCCACTACTTAAAAGAACGCAAATCTTTGTGAGACCGAATTTTGGAAGGGAATGCGGATCTTAAGTCTTGAAAACTATGGGCCGCGTTGGGGAAAAGTATGGGTTTTGCACGGGTTCGTTCGGGAAAAGGATGCGTTCCAGGGTATGCCCTGGATCTTTGTTTTGGTTTGAAAAATGATTAAGGCGATTTTCGTTGAATTTTTTTTTGAATGCGCGTATTTTTTTCGAATTTGTTCGATTTTGGCAGTTCATCCAGAATCATTTTTTTTTCCCAATGAAAAAGCTGCAATCATGTTTCAAACTTCTGCCTCCAGGGTGGCTCATTGTTGTCCAACATATTCCAAGAGCATGGGGTCCTTTCTTGTGAAAACTGCCAAGACCAGTAAGGTAGAGATAAAATCAACCTGAAGGGTACTGAAGGGATAGATCCAAGACCAGTATCAATAAAGCGGTTTGAGTTGTCCAAGAGAATGGACCATCAGATGTCATGACACCAAATTGGAAAAACTGTTTCCTCATTCCAAGAACACACTACATAGTTTGTTTGAGTTTTTCCCAATTGGTTCTTGATGCATTGATGCGCTAGGAAGTATAGACTAGCACATGTTGGGGTCCATATTAATGAATTAGTGGCTTCAAACAATCTGAAAAAGAGTCAAACATATGAGTCATTAGGGATTATCATCCTGAATATTGTTGAAAATCAACAACACCATCCGTTGATCAAACATGGCGATGGACAATCTTATACAAATGAAAGTGTTTATCGGAAACAAATCTGTAAACATATAAAACAAAAATATTGGTTATATTATGTTTGAGTACCAGAGAGTATTTGAAACCGCCAACCAGTTCTTTTACTTCTCCAGGTAGCCCTGCCTCTGCTGCCCTCCGTCCACGCGAAGACGCACTTAGCTCGCCTGGTAGGACCTAAGTGCCGTGCTGCAGGGAATGGATCGAGATTTGGTGCCCGGAAATTGCTATGCACAACTTTGATCAAACTTGGATGGCTTGACAAACTTTGATCAATAAGTGCTCTGTATTCAAGTTGCATTCAATTTGAGGCTTCAGGTATGATTCAAGAAGCTGAACCATCACTCCCAAGTGAGCCTTTTTGAAACATTTCGCGACCTCCAAGGTAGCCACGTCACCAAACACCAGGATGCCATGAGAGACCTCATGTTCTTCAATCTCCAGTATCTTCCTGATCATAAATGAGAGCATGACCATCATTCTGGATAAATGACAAGGATTCAGCAAGCTGACATAAGGTCACTTTGGGGTCTTCAGTGTACATTCACCAAGAAGTAGAAAAGTGTTGGAAACCTCTAAAGACTGTCCAGCAGTTTCCACTCATCTAAGTGCAGGACATAAGCTGTTAGAAGTCTGCCGATGAGCGGCATCACTGACTCAAAGGGCCATTGACAAAGCTGACCCAAAAACGAAGCTGATGGTATGATGGTACTACTTTCTGCATGACATCAATGACATCCGTACAACCTGCGTGCCTTCCATTGACGTTTGAAAGTGCCGAAAGTGCCCGTTGGAATTAACTGTTTCTGACGACAATTAGAGGCCAGGTCGAGAGCATCTGCGTTTTCAAGGGAAGTTAAGCCTAAGCTCGATGACAACTTCACATCACTGTTGCTTTCTCCGAAGCATTTTGCTGAGCCACTTGTGCGGTTCTCAAAGGGAACCAGCAAGCACTAGATTAATATGCAGTCTGGTCCAGCTTGGAGTTTCAAACAGACCGTCGATTTGTACCTACACTGCGACAATAACCCCAAAGTAAGAACTGACAAGTGTTTCACCCTATGTTGTTTTCCAAATTGATCAATTTTCATGGTTACTCTCAGCTCAATATACCTAGCCCAACAAACAGGTTACTAAAAAAAGCCAGCTGGTCTTGCATACTGCAACAAGAAAATCCAGACTATGTCAGACTTGTTGGATTTTCCCACCTTTTTGTTTCCCTCGTTAAGCTGTTCTCTGAACATTTTGGTACCCCCAAATCCAATGCTTAATCATCATCATCATCATCCCCAGGAAAACCCGGCCACAAATGTGGCCCACATTTTCAGACATACTCAAACCATATTGTGGGATACTCTGTGTTTATCCCATTAAATCACATTAAATCATATTAAATCATATCAAATCATATTAAATCCCGATGTTGCCTAGATAATCCGAGGTGTTTAACCCCCATTTTGGATGATGAAATCGACCACATCTGGTGTCGCCCACGTCTGGTGAATTCGTCTGGTTTTCCGTCAGCCGCGTCGCCCGCGCTTCCGCCGATGTCGTCAATCAGATCACTGGCTTCATCCGCATGGCAATGGGCAAACAGCACTCCAGGAATTTGTTCCTGTGCACAATCGATCAACATCAATCAACCATGCGGAACAACGCGGAATTTGTATGTGAAACACAGCCTGGATGGCCGAATCACTGTTGAACATGTTGAATCACTGTTGAAGATGTTGAACACGGGAAACTTTTCTAGGATTTGAAGGGATTTTAATGGGAAAGTAAAGGGATTTGGATAAATCATAGTAATTCACACATCTGCAAAGTTCGGCCATTTTGGGATAGTTGCCCTTACTATCCTTACGACGAATCTTTCCAGCGACATCACAACGTGAGAACTCATCAATTGGGATCATTGAAGGAGAACACACCGTTGGCCCCAAATTGGGATCTTGGAAGTGCAGTTCCAGTTGTAAGTGGATATATAATTATAATATTATATATATATATATTAAATATATACATATATATATTATATTATATACAGGGATTAAATATAATCTATCCCAAGCTATGGAGATTTAGTTCACTATGGTGATACCCATAGAGTGACCTCTGGCCACCAAGATCCGTGATCCACGGTGGGTCCTCTGCAGAAACTTTGCCAGGTTGTGAATCCTTGGCGCCAGTCGGGGTACCCTGGGTACCTCTAAATCATCCATTTATAGATGGATTTTCTATTGTAAACCCCCATCTACCCAGTATGACTTGGAAATACTTGGAACCTTTTACCCATGGGAAAAAACATGGCTAGGGTCTACCTATTGATGTTTAAAATGACAAGAAGTGATCTTGGCATCACAAAATAAGGAAGACATATACAGTGGTGGGATTGACAAGCCATTGACGGTCGCAACACTGTCAATCACCGTTGGTCCAAGGATCTGAAATGCGGTCACGCCGGTGATCAGAATGATCTGTCGTGGGCGTGGGCCACGTGGGTGGAATTTCTAGGGGACCAGCCAAACCTTTCGCCCATGGAAACGACTCGCTTGCGCCCAGATTCACCTAAGACCTAAGCCTAAACACACATTTATGTAGATCAACAAGCATTTCGGGTCTACTTTTAGGGGACATGCGGGGGACTTGGGGACCTGGGGGATAAGGGAGGGACATGGGGGCATGCAGCAAGATAATGCACAGGCAACATTCCTTTATGATCTTTATGTAGAAAAACACAAACAACCATTTAGGGTCTACTTTTAGGGGACATAGCGAGGGGGATTGGGGATCAGGGGGAAGGTTAGGGAGGGGCTTGGGGACCAGACAGGATTAGGGAGGGAAGGCATGCAGCAACATAATGCACACAGACAACAGGGACATGGGGGCTGGGGCGAAAGGACTACCCGGGCACAAGCGAGACAAATCCACGAGCACAAGCGAGGCCGTTTCCAATTCTAAGGCCAATCATCCAATGCCGTGAAAACTCACGTCTCCAGAAGTTGGCTACGTTGAAAGGTTGAACCACCTTCTTCAAGTTACTCAGACCTCCAAGTACTGGTACCCGCAACAAAGTGTAAAAGTTCCGAAATATATAATAATGAGTATATAAGCCCATTCTTCTCGGTACTTGGAGGGTCCAGGTACTCACAGCATGGAGGATGAACAACATCACAAAGACTGCTACTTACTGTACATCCCGGACGAAACACCGGCCTGGAGGAATTTAAAGGCTGCGACGTCCATATTGACAGCTTCAGATGCCTTCACGAACTTTGCCTTAGAAGAACGAGCTTCAAACACATTGGCTTTCCTAGGTGGATGTTGGTGGTTCAGCCATAGCCATAACAAATATTCGCAAGTGACATGTGGGTATCATGTTGCCCCGGGCCATGAAAGTCACTGATCCTCATCATCCCAGCTTGTTGGATGAACACCATGAGAAGGCAACAAGCAACCAACAAGCCTGTATTGTTTATTATGATGGTATTTTAAGTATACCTCATGTTTCCATAATATGCTTTTCCTGGTTACATACATGTCTATGTTTGGTTGGTAGAATCCCAACATAGATATCGTCAAAAACTAAACTAAGCAACATATACCAATATGTTGGCTATCCAAATTATCTCCCCCAAAATGTGGTTGTTTTACCCAGTTGCGGAAAACAACATCAACTGGTCCCAGTATGGTCCCGATATCCATCATTATCCATCCATCTCAAAGGCTTCTTTTTATTTTTTTTCGTCTGAAGATCAATGATGCAGGCAGTTCATCCGAGGTACCTCAAAGGCCTTTTCATAGTCATTCTCTGTACTAATGGCCTGGCCCGGCTGCGAATCCAACACATCTGGTAGAAACAAACATGGCCGGAGCATGCGAAAGTATGAAGTGTTATACTACCAAATTTATGTCAAATTTATGTAATTTTAAGATATTCAAGGAGGAAGTCAGGTAAGTTTGTCATATATATATATATAATCCTCTGGTAATCAAACTTGGCAATGGAAAAATAAGAAAAACAAAATGAAACAATGTAATGTTGGTAAAACAATAACAAACGACCCATTTGGGAATGGCTTATACCACCTATTTATGGTGATTTGGGGGATGGTTTATTCTTATTTTACCCACATTCTACATTATTTTCCCAAGCACAAACCTTCATTTATGGGGGAAACTAGCCATGTTGGGTTTGACACCTGGAGGCTACCAACCGGCCATGGCTACGCACAAGCATGGCAGGCTTACATTGATGCGCTCCAAGAGAAGGTCCACTTGGGCCTGAATCAACTCTGTGGATTTCTGGCGGCAAAACTGGGGGGTTCCAATCCATGGGGCTACCCCAATAGCTGGATGGTTTATAAGGGAAAATCCATCTATAACTGGATGATTTAGGGGTGGCCCTATTTCAGGAAACCCTCATTTCATAGTGTGAATACCTAGAAAATCTCACTACCAAGCCACCTCGCAAGTGTGAATGAGTGACCTATCTCGAAAAAAAGTTTAAACACTTTGGCAGTTTGGCACTCCAAAACTTATTCCTCTCAGGATTTTTCTGCGCCTGGAATTTTCGCTGGAAAAATTGGGCCTGTGCACCCTTCAAGTCAGACAAGTGAGCCACATTCTTCGGGTCCTGGCGCTCGAAACTAGGGGATAGCCACGTTCATAGGGAAAATCTATGAACATATGGGGGTTATCCAAAATTATGGTACCCGAAAATCTATGAACATATGGTTTTAGGACGACTCCCATAGGGGAAAATGATGAATCCCATTGAAAAATTGGGTATCCCTGAACCACATCCCATGATAAGCTCTGATTTCCCCTAGCCACTCAGTACTTTGCTCCAAAAAAATACTGGGTAGGCATCAGTCAATCTCTTATGTGACGAGTGCGGCTTGTGACTAGCTTGAACAACAGTTGTGATTCTGTGGTATCTGGCATTTCTAAAGACAACATTTGGAATCAAGTTTACACTCTAAAATTACTATCTCAAAATGATTATTTGTCTCAAGTTCGATGATTTTCGCTACAGAGCATCATGGCTAGGCCACGGAGATTTCGAACCCCGGAGCTGACACCGTTTCGGGATCATTAGTTATATCCCCAATATTCCCCAATTATATCTCCACATGTTGGCGAAATGTGTCCCATGACTTCCCCCGGGTTGACCCAGTCCGACAGCAGTCCGAGGCTGGAAGCACCTGGCGATTCGCCAAGCTGAAAAAAAGCCGTCTCCAAGGACTTATAGGAATAACCCTTAACACTTATAGAAGGTGATTATAACTACTGTAACTAAGGTGAACAATGTGAAACATATCACTGAAATGAGGTTCTAGTTCCTCAAAAAATAACTGTTGAAGGGTATCATCTTTTTGTGGAAAATCAGCTTTCAACCTCTATGAACGGCAGAGTCTGTGCTAGTTGGGGGAATGGAACAAGGGTTGGTAAATGTCCTAATGGAACATCACCCAACTATTGGTGATATAGTATCCAACAAATACATACAAACACTTGACAGTGTAATCCGCAAAGTGGGACATTTACCAACCCTGTGACAACTGTCTAAAATTGGAGGTTTATTCTGTTGGCTTTACCATGGTTTAAGCATTTAATTATTTTAAAATATGTTTATAGTTATATTATTTATTTATCAGGATTATTTAATTTACCTTCGCAGCCAACGAGTTTGTATGATCGAAGAAATGGAACAAAATATATCTTGCCATGCTGAGCACAGTCCGGACACCAAAAAAGGGATTTCATGAGCCAAGAACATGGATTTCAGCAGCAAAAACATGGGGATGTCATCAAACAAGAATCGGGTCGCACCGAGCACGTCGAAGGCGATGGACCTGGAACGCTTGGTGAAGCCGAAGCGAACCATAGATACATTAAAGTGATATAGATCCCAATAGACACTATATAATACTTATTAATATCCCGTATCGTATATGGATATATGATGGCGACAAACCATGCTATATAGTCATGAATCATGCTATGTTTAGTAGTGTTTAGTTATATATCTAACATCTACCATAAATCTGATAAGTTGGCTGAATACCACCCAAAAAAAACATACCTAGGTCTTCGTTCGTAGCACTTTTTTCTGGGAGACTAGGTTGTTGACTTCTTTTTGAGATATCGGTCAGAAAAAGTAGTTCTTGACCAAAGCTCCTACTTTTGCAATTTACCTATGATTTCCCTGGTTTCATTTCATGCTGCATTACCATGTTACACATTCAACCTCATCCAATCCTATTTCAGTTGAATTCCCTAATGTGGGCCATTGATAAGACGAAGTGGAGCAATGACAAGTGGCCCGCAAATCGACGTTGACCAACACCTACCATCTATCCACCATAAGCGAATAAAAGCAAAACGCCAAACTCTGACCAGCCATGTTAGCTGGTCAATCGGCCTTGAAGTGCCACTAACAGACTCTTTGGCTCACCAGTTCATTTTTGTGTGCGATGTGCACGTTTTATGCGAAAGTCCGCGCCTACAAAAACCTTCAAAACTCCCTCAAAAAGCTTCAAAACGACTACAAAAATCATCAAACGCCTACAAATCCCAAAACTAGGTCACTTTGTTTTTTATTTTTTTTCGGCAATATGCAACAAAAAAATGAAATTTTAAGCCTGCTTCTTTTTTGCAGAGTTCTCACAGAATTATGTTTTTGGAAGAAGCATGGTCATGATTGCAAGTTTGAACACTGTGCGTGTGTGTGTGTGTGTACATCACCATGCGGATTGGGATGTTTGAAACCAGGCTTTTTCCATGAGCGAAATCTATTATATCTATAATCAATTCAGGGGGTCGGGGAATGACAAAAAAATCAAGGTTGTAGTGGAGGGCATAAAGCTCACGACCGGTTTTTGGAGATATCTTTTTGAATTAGCGTCCAGAAAAAGTAGAACACTAGGGGTCGACCAAAATTTCTTGATCTTTTGAAGACCTAGGTATAGATATATCATATCTGCCATAGTTCCTGGGTAACCTAGCTATAAGCCAAGTTAGCTACATATGGGGCCCCGCCTTGTATCAACATTATTTGACATAGTTAATAAGCCACAAAGCATTATATGGTTTCAATGTTTAGGACTTTATTAACATAATTAACCAACTTTAACTGCTTATTTGACCAGCTAAGTTTGGTCTGTGGGATTCACATGATTCACCCAAGCCCATCAACAACAGTCAACAGTCCTACCATTTGGCAATGATTTGAATCCTGCAAATTCAGGAGGGAACACAATCCATAACATCCTGGGAAAAACAGGTTCATTTCTTGGACCCCAAAGGCATACTGCTGTTAAAACCAGGGCTCAAAAACCTGAGATGCAACAAACATTGGAAGAAATTTGGTATCATGCGGAGGTAGATGCAAAGTATGTGCAATTAGATTGTATGGTTTCTATCGTTTTCAAACTACATTCAGACCGCATTTGATCTTCTCTTGGACCGCTTTGCGGATTTCAGGGATCCACTTAAATCCACAATGTTGGCAAATAGTTGTACATACCTCAATTACAAAACCTTGATTGTCCCTTGACCCTTGATTCTATATTTCATGGCTTCCGACTTGGAGGATCCTCCCACGTAGGAAGTGGTTAATCTGGTTAATCAGCATAGTTCATCCACTTATAGATGGGATATAACTTATATAACCCACTGAAACAGGGCAGGGTTAGATACAACCCAATCGGACCCGTACCGCTACATATGCCACATCACACATGCTTGCGAGAGTCCAGCGTAGCTTGCGGCCAGCGCCGACCCAGCTCGCCAATCGGTCCTGCCGCGGCGGCCAGTGGTACTGAACCATCCAAACTTTGGTTGGCTTTCTTTGATCCTCACGGAACATCTACCCAAAAAAGGATATTTTAGCTTAGAAATCACTGAAATACATTACTGTAATTATTAATGTTGGCTGCCTAATAGTAATTACCCCCCCCCTATTTTTATTTTTTATTTAGGGGGGGGTCAACCTTCCTATAATAATTTTTGGGAATCTATAGCTGGGATCATGATATGTATTTGATAGATTCTCCATGGTTTTGTTGGGTTTCTGAAAGATTCTGAATGGATTTGGTGGAGGCGAAGGAGGAGGACGAGGAGGAGGAGAAGAAGGAGAAGGAGAAGGAGAAGGAGGACAACAAAATTGGAGTTGCGGAAAAAAGTTTCCACTATTGCCATGCCTGGTGCAGGGTTGTTATTGCTATTCTGGGGCTTGCAAAGGGGGTACCCTTTGTGGACCTGTTTTCTTGCTTTTTTTAATAAGGGTTTTATAAGGAAATCAGCTGTTTGGAAATTGGATCAGATTTCTGGAATCTAAGCTTTTGCTAATCAAAAGTGAAGGCTGCTTTGAAAAGGATTTGCTTTACTTGACTCTTTTGGCAATACTAAAAGTAAATAGAGCTAATTGACTTTTAGTATTGGAGAAAAAATTGGAGTTGGGAAAAACGTTTCTACTATTGCCATGTTGGGTCCACTATTGGCCATGCCCTCTGGGCAAGGTCTGAACATGACTCTTTTGGCAATACTAAAAGTAAATAGAGCTAATTGACTTTTAGTATTGGAGAAAAATTGGAGTTGCGGAAAAATGTTTCTACTATTGACAAGATATCACTATTGGTCAGACAACATTATGGACATTTACCTCTTCACAGGTTTGTGCTCTCAGTACACACTTGTGCCGGCCATTTTGGTGATCATCTTTGGGGTAGTACCAATATGTTTGCCAAGGAATGCGAAACATACAGCAGCCATGCCAAGCCGAGATGTGGAAACAAATCTCATGTTTAAGGCAGTTCTTCCGAGCATCAGGCTCATGTGGACAGTGTATCGTTAGACTCAGCAACTGTTTCTTGTAATGTTGGCTGCCTAATAGTAATTACCCCCCCTAATTTTTTGCATTTTTATTTTTATTTTAGGTGGGGGGGGTCAACCTTCCTATAATAATTTTTGGGAATCTATAGCTGGGATCATGATATGTATTTGATAGATTCTCCATGGTTTTGTTGGGTTTCTGAAAGATTCTGAATGGATTTGGTGGAGGCGAAGGAGGAGGACGAGGAGGAGGAGAAGAAGGAGAAGAAGGAGAAGGAGAAGGAGGACAACAAAATTGGAGTTGCGGAAAAAAGTTTCCACTATTGCCATGCCTGTTGCAGGTTTGTTATTGCTATTCTGGGGCTTGCAAAGGGGGTACCCTTTGTGGACCTGCTTTTTTGCTTTTCTTAATAAGGGTTTTACAAGGAAATCAGCTGTTTGGTAATTGGATCAGATTTCCGGAATCTAAGCTTTTGCTAATCAAAAGTGACGGCTGCTTTGAAAAGGATTTGCTTTACTTGACTCTTTTGGCAATACTAAAAGTAAATAGAGCTAATTGACTTTTAGTATTGGAGAAAAAATTGGAGTTGGGAAAAAAGTTTCCACTATTTCCATGTTGGGTCCACTATTGGCCATGCCCTCTGGGCAAGGTCTGAACATGACTCTTTTGGCAATACTAAAAGTAAATAGAGCTAATTGACTTTTAGTATTGGAGAAAAATTGGAGTTGCGGAAACATGTTTCTACTATTGACAAGATATCACTATTGGTCAGACAACATTATGTGATTTAATACGTACTTGCTTGGTTTTCATAACCACTCCTCACACAGGAAATCAGGTCAACACTGCTGCATTCCCCGCATCAAGGTGGCCATGAAACTTGGGGACTCTCGGTGCAAGCCGCTAGCCTTCGCAGCGCAATGGACGCAAATGCTGTGAGCTCCCTCACTCTTGGGAATCAAGGCCAGAACCTGCAGCACGCATATTGCATGTGGTAGGTCCATGGGTATCTCACAACAGGCTGGAGAGTTTTAGGATCTCAAACCCTCCATGGGGTTGTGAATTTCAACATATATCCATTACATCCCATTGCCATCATGCTTCATGAACAAGAGGTTGGCAATGCTGATGAAATTAGTGAACAAGAGACAGAAATAGAAATCAAATAAATAACATGTCTGCAAGCACTGGGAGCCAAACACCATCATGTGAATCAACAAGTGCATGATCTTTCACGACCTGCTTGGCGGTTGGAGCCGGAGAACTGTGAGAATGAACAGCGAAACACCAGGGGCCAGGGTTCCACTTGACTGGCAAAGTCTTGCAGACTCCCCTGCTGTGCAAATCAAACCTGTGCAAAGTTAACAAAATGTACCAATAGCAACATAAAAAGCAAACACACACAGAAACATGCAAAGGATTTACGGTAGATATCAGCAAACCCATGCGGTGTTGCGCATATCGTTTTGCAACCAAACCTTGAACGACGAAAAAGGTAAAAAGAAACTTACACATGGCGACCGATTCTGTGCGTAGCCTGCACCTCGAATGTGAAGGTTGAACAAATGATACAACACCGACATATGATCAACACATGGTATACATTTGGCAAAACGAGGAATGGTCATAATGGGAATCCTTATTGGACATCACTTCAAGCACAAGGATCCTAAACTTGCAAGAAATGGGTTTATCTGGACTACGGTGCCCATTTCCATCTATTGGTTGATCAGCTTTTCCCATGAAAATAGCCATGACTGGTGGTATTCCCGGTGTTCAGAGCCATTTCTTTCGTTTGCCGCGGCCTCAGCTGCTGGGCTTTTCACTAGTATCTTGCATTCAGCACCGGAAAGCACCTGCCAAGAAAATGCACTTCTGGCGGCGATGTGCTATTCATGACAGGAAATGTACAAATGTAGTCACTTCTTCGGAGATGTTCGGATACCTTTTTTACAGTGTTTCATGGCATTTTAATGGCATTTTAATGTGTTTTGGAGGAGATTCGATGCCAATCCCCCTTTACGTGATCAGCGTTTTGGTCGAGAGTCCGAACACAACTGACAGCTAATCCTAGAGCCTCAAGTTGGTAGCTCCAAGCATAAAGTACAATGTCTTGCGAGTAAAGAAGCAATTTCTATGTATATAAATGTATATACTGATTCTGTTTTCTCGGTACCGTATGACTCGTATGACAGTAGAATCATAGAACCACGCAGTTTACTCGATCGTTTAGTATTTCCATCATACACTGCCTTCCAAAAGTCATAAGTTTCGAAACAAATTCTCGTTTGTTTTCTGAGGAGCAAAGAAAGATTTGGGTTTGTCGGAAAATATAGTGTATACCGTATACTCCTAAAATATCCCAGAAATCTACGTTTAATCATCATTTTTTTCATAAAATGACCACTTCGATAGTTCCACCCAATTTTCAAACAAACACTTTAGGTTTCGATGGACTGATTGGTGCATCTCATTCAACTGGTGATGTGCAGCATGGCCCACCTCCTTATCTTGCATACTGTACGCAATTCGGAGGACCTGCCAGGGGGCAGATATGGAAGCGTCTTTTGGACATGTTTCATATAGGGCTGTAATCCACCTTGAACCTCAAAGGACCAGAAAGGCTGAAAACCACCATGTTTTCGCTTAAAATTCCAATGTTCATGCGTCAATATCGTCAATCAAGGGCCTATAGGTACCACTTGCCTTGGATTACTACCCAATTGTGATAGAGGTCCCTTCCTGCAGTGTCATGCTGCTTGTGCAGGGAAAAAAAAGGCACCTGGTTTTCGAGTACATCCTGCTGGAAGCATCTCTCAGACCCCTCCTGAAAATGAAGGAAGCACACCGGCAAATTCACAAGGATCCATCAACTGAAAATGTCCTCAACAAAGAAATATGCTGCTCTGGCAGCACAAATCCACGACCTCAGTTCTCTTCCCCCCTCTCCATGGCATGGGTTGCTGTGCGTGGTTTTAGACCAACTGAGAGCGCCACAGCAACAGCAACGGATAGTGGGAACCCATGGCCGAGCTTGAGATCAAAGTGGAGGCAATAAAAGCATGTTGCTTGGTGATCCTTAATGCCGTTAATTATCTCAACGCAGCTGATGTGTGTTGTTTTGCCACCAAAGGGCCAACAAAGAATTTGAAAAACATTTTTGATCACCATCCCATTTGAAAAGAGAAAACATAGGGCCCAAGGCGTCCAAATCCAAAATCTTTACAAAAGCAGAAAGTTATGTTGCTGACCGGGTGACCGCTGTTGGTATCTGAGTTTGTAGCTTGAAAGTCAAGCCCCAAGGAAGTTCGAAGTTCACCTAGTCTGACGATGTTCATTCATTTTCAATCCCCATAGCTGCAAGTGATCCGTTGATTCCCGATGCTTGTTTCGCTGTGCTCATCACTGGGAGCCCTTGAAAGAATGGGCTGCAGTGACAGAGTCTGCGGTTGATACCCTCCAGGTCCAAGGGGTCTCAGGAATGGTCCCAACACCCCCCCCCACTTGTTGCTACCAATTACATCCATTTATCATAATTATATAATAGATGGATGATAGATGGGAGCAACATTGGGAAGCTGACACAAATAAGAGTTCATCATGGATCATGTTCCTGGGTAAGTATCTATGTTCATTAGCCGCGGCGTGCCTGCCCTCAGTTTTTTTCCAGATTGAAACATCAAACATGTTGCTATTATGGCTTTGGTGCCCGGCAGAAATTGGACGCTTAAGGTTGAAACATGAGACAACACGGCGCTTTATCCAAAAATTGGATTCCCTGAATTCCAGTGATTAAACCGTTTGTCATGGGGTATACGGGTATACATTTTTCTAGTCCTGGACCTTCTATACTAACCCAGTATACATACTGATGTATCTTAGTTTAATGCGTGGGAAGGTGGTGAAGGTGTAGCATCATAGTTTTAGCAGGTTTTGTTGGAGATGTTGGCGGCGTTGGGGCGACCATGCACAAGAGAAATCCCGGGCAAAATCTGTCAGTTTTTTAACGGGAATGGCCCAAGATTCAAAATCTCAAAACTCAAGATACAAGTTTGCAAACGATCTCCCCTGAAGGTAAGTGTAGTATAGTATAGTCTCTTTTAAAGACTTTGTAAGAGTTGGATAGAGTTGGACCAATGCACAAAACCCTGCGCTTTTGCTCTACACGCTGTGTTAGTCTAGTGACGCTGAACGCCGTACCGGGCAAACAGGCCCAGTTGAAGCGTAGCCAGGAGGATACCCACACCATCTTGTAGATAAATGTAGGGATCGTCAAGCATGAAATAGGCATAGAAGAACCACAAAACGCAATTGAGATTCACAATGCAAGTAAAGCCCAAATTCAAGGCTCTAGTATTCTGCTCTCGCACCACTGTTCGAATGGCGGTCAGTGGCCCTCCGAACATGAAGATGGTCATCACATTTCCTGTGATTCCAAGCAAATTCAAGGCCATGTTCTGCGGAAGATACGCGTAGGCGAAGACAGAGAATCCCATGGTCCCTAAGACCTTAAGGATGTGACTTTTCAGCAAATGTCCCAATTCTGGGCAGTGGCTGCAATAAATTGACATGTAGTACATCCCCAAAAGCGCAGCACAAAGATTCGGTGTCCACACTGCAGGGTTGTTCAGCAGCAGTCCGTAGGCAGTCCAAACACTTCCTTGCCTTGGTGGTTGCCGCGCTGCCAAGTTGGTTTGCAGTAACTTTGAGTATCTTTTAGTGGGATAAATTATATACGTCTTGTATAGGTTAATTATGTTAATTTAATAATGTCATTATTTAAAATAGTTCATAGTTTTCCTCAGAAATGCATTTTTTGGATATTTTGGGTATCTATAATGCTGATTTTCCATGGCAAATTGTTGAATTATCAGAGGGTAACCCACTGTTTGACAAGTTATAGTTATGCAATGTTATACCATATATTTAACAAAACACCTATATGACTTATGTTAAACCATATAGTTATGCAATGTTTTACCCATGTTATCATGATTTTTGTATCCAAAAGAGACTCAAAACCTAACTGTACGGATCTACTCCGTCCAGCTGCGAAGTCATGGCAGAATAGGGGAGCATCGGCATCTCGCCCACATGTCCTTGGCCGATCTCGGGCAGCCCGGGAACCATCAACAACTGGGGATTTACCTAGGAACATTTGGATTTAATGGCAACATATATATATATATATTATACATTATATATTTATATATATGATGTATATGTATATATAATGTAAATATATATATAATGTATGTATATATATAATGTATGTATATATATAATGTATATATATATATATACATATAATGCATAATATATATATAATGTATATATATATATATTGTATATATATATATAAATATAAATATATAATGTATATATATAATGTATATATATAATGTATATATATATATATATTGTATATATATAATATCATGTATATATATATATATATATTGTTTATATATATAATGTATATAATATATATATATATATATGTATAATATATATATAATGTGTATATATATTGTATATATACATATATATATATATATAATGTATATATATATATATATAATGTATATATATATATATAATGTATATATATATAATGTATATATATATAATGTATATATATATAATGTATATTAGCAAACAACATGGAATCTGAGTGTGTCTGAAATAGGGTCCGCCGCACCCAACATGACAGCTAAATACAGAACATGATTTTCGCAACCTGCGGCTGGAATGAGGCCAGATTTGGGGATGTATCAATAGCTGCTGACATACTAAAGCCATGGGGAATTGGCTGGAATTGGCAGAGTAACATTCATGAACATCAGCGATGTTGGTGTCTAAAAAGAGGAGACCAGAGTTTTGATCCCTATCCAGATTACAATTTTCCAAGCAGATTTCGTATTGTTGGTGTCTCAATGAATTGTGGAACATCATCAACTAACCGAACTTAAAAGCAAACGACATCACAACATCAACACGTGAAGAAAACCGCTTTGGTTCGTCCGCTTTTAGTCAAGTGTCCCATCTTGCGAATCCGCGGCATGGCCTCGAACATGGGGTTCAGGAAAATGCCCAGGGACACTACTCCTGGCAAACCTATGCCAAGTGATCCAAGTCCGGGAAGAGTCAGCAAGTCTTCAAAGATCCATCGATGTTCACTCAAAGACAGAGCTCCAGGTGCTAAGGCGCTGGGCAATAAAAAGAGAAACCAAGGACTTGTGGCTTGAAGGGCCTGATGTTTGGTTGTCTCAACATTTGGAACCCCAGATGTTTGTGGTTTATCACTATTTTCCCCTTGAAAATAGCAATTCTGGGGACTCACGCCCCAGTTCGAGACAAAGCCAGATCTTTGATCCTTGTCAATCTTCTCACATCTTCGTTTTCCATCTCTGATTGCAACTGGCCCATTCGAGACGCAGAGCCTTCCATCAGCCTTGTACCAAGCTCTGGAAAGGCTGGGGGTAGCACCTCCAGTCACAGCAGTTGGCTGTGTCGTCAGAAGACCAGCGGATCTCAAGCGCCGGAAGAGACATGGGACGGAGCATTTTGACTTCATCAGGTGTCGTTTTTTGAGATGTTCATGGATTTTCTACCCTGTCAAAGGGTACGACCCTCTGAAAAATGCAAACACTGAAAAGTATGCGAAGCATCTGATGGTCTAAACAGTGTATTGCACATTGCAGATGCTTTTCCTTGTGCTGACTTTCGATAACACTAGTTTAGACATCTCTGCGAAACAACTCACTAAGCTCTTTGCTGTGTTATGTTCTTTTTCATCATTCTCTGAAATGAATCTTTACGGCCTGTACAGTAGTGCATCATTATGTCATTACTCTATGGTATGGAACATGATTTTTGTCACTGATTTTGTTTGAAGGAACATCTACTTACCAGAAAACAATAGACCTGAAATTTGATCATCAAAATTCGATGGGAGTTCCCCATCCTTCAACCACCTCAAGCATCTAGTTTGGAGTACAAGGTAGCCTTTTCTTCTCAACGCTCTCTTTCAGTGATGCTTTGAGCAAGCTCCCAAAACATGGAACACATCTGACTCTGCTGCAAAGTTTGTTTCGTTTTAATGTTACATCTCCAACATGCAAAATCAACAATTGACACGTGCCCAAAAGTTCCATGAACGATTCCCACATCGCAATGCTTTTGCTGAAAAAACTACAACTTACCCACCAGATTTGATGCTGCCCGGTCGCCATGCGCAAAGCACAGGAAAATCATCATGCTTTTACACTAAGCAAATCATATGTGTTTTCATAATTTATTTTCAATAGCCGTGTTCAATTTGTTCAATTACCTGGGAATAGGATGGAATAGGTTCCTATGGTTTCCTCCTGTTATTTTTCCTTAAACCAAAACGGTGTTTCCTACTGCTAAATCTGTTATTTCAGCATCGGAAAAAGTCATACAACGAGTGCCTCTTTACATGAAGCGTGTCAAAAAAACACACTTATAGTGGAAGATCCTTAGGACTTGTTGGTGAAATGTGGTGAATAAGGATTCCAATAATGATTGTTTGGCTGCGATCATCAACCGATAGGGGCGATCCACTATGACAACCCCCTTCAGCCCCAGAAACCGACTGGCTGAAATGCTCTGAGCTCATTATATGTTCACCTTTTTGTCGCAACATCTTTTATACCAGGGGCCAGGGGCCAAGTCTTTGTGTTGGCAGTTCTCTTTTCATGAATTCAGCCTCAAGGCCGCCATGGCTTCACATCTATGCGCCTAGTCGGGTTTGTCCAAAAATAGAGGTCCAACCCGACATCAGGATCCACGGTTTGATCATCAGGATCCCCACTCAACACTAACAAAAAGAATCAAGATAAACATATAGATAAATATGTTCCATCAAGTTCCATCATCAACTTCCCCATGACAAGAACATGGAACTTTACGATACGTAAATCGCGTAAATCCCATGTTCGGACATGAGCTATATATACCTCCAAAAATCTATTGCCCCAAAATGGAATATCTATTTTTCCTTCGTTTTAAAGGGTCGCCTTCATTTTACAAGGGTTTCGACCAAACCTTCACAAATATACGTGCGGTATCGCGCAGTCATCGTTTCGAGCTAATGACAGCAGCAATGGCAAAAGTTGTAAAAACCGTGCCAGGATGTGCCAGGATTAGTACTGTGACTCGTAGAAGCGACAAAGGTGCTAGAAGAAGCAACAGTGGAGGCGCAAGCAGCAGGAGCAGGGCAGTAGCAGGAGCAGTAGCAGCAGCAGTGGCAGCAGCAAGTGACAGCAGTGACAGCAGTCACAGCAAGTCACAGCAAGTCACAGCAGCAGTTACCAGCAGCAGTTACCAGCACCAGCACCAGCAGCATCAGCAGCAGCTGCAGCAGCAGCAATCGCGGTGATGCTGGCGCTGTTGGTGCTTTGTTGGTGCTGGTAAGACAAATGCCTGCAGCAAAAGCACAACTAGGCCCCGCAGTGGCAATGGTAGTTGTCGCAGTAGTAGCAGGATGGGGAAGAAGGTTTGCCAGCTCCTGGCCAGGTTCATGCCAAGCTGCTTGTCGTGAATTTTGCCTTCGTTTTTGCCTTCGTTTTGGCTTCGTTCCAGAACGCAAAACCAGACGGGAAAACGAAACCGCAGGATGAAAAGAATACTTGCAGGCGGAAAGCAGAAACTTGACAAAATGTAAATGCAGCAGGAGGAAAAAGGAAAAAACAAACGGGACCAACAGAAAGAAACGAAGGCGGAAAGGAAGCCAACAGAAACTGTCACAGGAAAGGCATGAAAGCAAGAAAGGAAACAAAAGGAAGACAAGGGAAAACAGGTAAAAACCAAACGACAATAACCCCATATAACTCCATAATACGCCATTCTTGACGTTCGCTGCTCAAATGGAATTCTATCAACAAACTTTAGTTGTAAGGTTTGCCTTCGTTTTAAAGGGTCGCCGTCGTTTTTGCAGGTTTTGAGCTATATTCCATTCCAGTACATATCCCTTACATAGACCTTTTTGGTGGTAGCCCATGTTTGGACACACCCAGCGGCATTGAGCCGGTCATTGCCAGCTGCAAAAGTCGCAAGGTCAGGTATGGAACAAACGGCACTCAGGGCAGGAAGGTTTGCTCTTCAGTGGTACACTCCCGGTTCTCCAGGACCACTTCCACCCTCCAAGGCCTCGAAGTGGTAGCCGCGCACGCATCCTTTATCAATGATAAGGTGTAACATTGACCTACATATGTATCTTAAACATGCTTTTACAGTTGAAACATGTTGAAGCATAGAATTAAATGGCTATCTGGGCCATGCTCCCCATGAGGTTCGCTTCTCTTCCGCTCCCCGGTGCCATGTGCCATGGCACTTTACGATGTTGATCAGGAACTGATTCTGATCTGGGCCTTGGTCGGTGCGCCTCTGAGGTTCAACCTCTGAGGGAAACCAACAGTTCAAACTCTGAGGTTCCAACAGAACTTCACGGTGTACTCAGAATCTCCCAGATTGCACCTGAAGTGACCAGACGAAACCATGACTTCTCAACAATTCCAACAGCCATAACGAAACATCCAGGGCTTGTGCCTGACAGGATGCATCATTTCATCCGATGCTTTAGAAATGTTTTTAGAACCTCATGTTCCCCATCAAAACAGCCATCTATTTTGGCCAAACCCATCATGTCGTTGATTCTATTTTATTAACATCCATCAATTAGTTCGATCCATATTCCCATTTGGATCCATTTGGATCATTGTTTGCTTTAATACCCCACCTATATCCACCTATAACTTTCTTATTCTTCATATTTCCAGCTTTGGACAACCCCCAAACATACTGACCTAATTTTGTTGACTGACCTTCCACATATATATATATATATATACACATATATATATATATAATCATTATATATCTTAAGTTAGATTCCCGATGGAGTGCTGGTGAAGCCCATGACCCTTTTCAGGCGTCGAACCGTTTTTCTAACCGCTCAGGGGGCGACTCGTTGGAGTCGGCGATGGTGATGTCGTTGCCGTCGTTTTGGAAGGCAGCTCCGGAACAGGCCCCGGTGGTGGGTCCTTGCATCTGCATGTCAACCTGGGAGGTGTGCCGAAAAACTGATGGAAATTTTAGGGGATAATTATTCCCCAAAGATATGAGAATTCATATTAGCCATGGTAAAAAAAAGTTGATCGATGTTGGTTGATTGGTTGATTGGGAGTTATACTACAGGGGTTCTTGGGAAGTATGATAACCCATGGTAGGGAAAATCATGAACCATGAGATCGGATAGGGGTATTTTTTATGGATCATATGGATTCATGCGGTGCAGCAGCTACTTTTTAGGGTCCTGAAATTTCCATTGACAATTGGGTAGATAAGGCCGTAAAAAGCCTAATCTCTCCCCTTGTGTAGTTTATCTATTTATAGGTCGGAGCACCCATGTTAAACCATCCGCATTTGCAGTTTATTGGTGCGTACCCAAAAAAAACTGCAATGATTTTTGAAATGACTCTCACATTGCACATGCTACTGTGGAAGGTGGATGAAGGTGGATTATTGGGTTTACCACATAAAGAATCACAAAACGTAAAGGCAAATTGTTTTTTTTTGATACCAATTTGTGGGTAACATGTTGCAATTAAAGTCTGTAACTCCGGTGGTAAAGCAGAATTGTTTAAGGGCGGTGATTTTGGGTCAGGTATGGGCCTGTAGACCCTCTATTTAAGTACCCACAACTGGTTAGTAGTGGCTACCCTCGAAACAAATGAAAGTCAATCGGGAACCATCATCTCATTGTTTGATGAACATTAAAGATAGTTGAAACCGCCAACCAATGGGTACAAGCTGGCAAACCTACAAAAATTAGGAGCCTGACAGGCTCAATATATTCGTGTTTCCCAATTACCCAACCATAAATGATACTATGGATGGTTGCAAAATCCTGCGCCACCAAAAGGATGGTTGAAACCCTAAAAACATAGGAGGTTTATCACCCATCAACTGGTGATTCGGATTTCGCTGGCCCATCCACTGTATCTCCATGAGGCCGAGCAGCAGTTCCGCCATTGCTGTCATGACTTAGGACCTTAATAGAGAACTTCTGAACCAGCAATTCGCCACCATAGCCTCATGTCATTGTTGGAACTGAACATGGTGGGGAAAACATGTCGAAATGTGGCAACAAATGTGGATATTTGTGGCTTTGGACCTGAAAATCAAGACATATCATGGGAAACAATGATTTCTCTGAAGCAATGGCTTTGTCTATTGTCTGAAGACTATGGGAAAGAAACAAAAACCAAGTGAGGCTCACAGTTTAGAATGGATGAAGTTTACATCGCTAGCTACCACTCTACGGTATACCATTTTTGGACAAACTATGAACAACTGTTTTTTTTTGCAAATGGGACCTGGGATTTTGCCAACATGTTTATTTACTACCAAAACACGGATTTTCCCAACAGGGATGCCATAAAAAATCGGGCTCGATTGGGCTTTTCCTGCAGGTTAGGGATATAACAGTCATGCTGAGCAACAGGTTGCCTTTTGTACACCTTTAAGAGTTCTTGTACAAATAATTTGATGTATAGTACAACATCTTCTCGTAATTAGTTGATACCGTTTGATATTCGACACTGCATGTCTTTGACTGATTTACATATCACATCAATGAAAAGTGAAACACTTACAACGTGTAATAACGCATAAATATATCAATAACATATGTCAATTGATTCATAATAATTCAAAATAATTCATATATAACTACAAACAAGTGAAACACCAACACCTTTCCTTGTTTGGCAAATCGTGAAGTTGTCATCCCACTCGTGCAACGTGACGCAACAACGCGACGCCGAGCAGCAAAGGGGAGCACCTTCGGGGAAGGAGCCGTCGCCGGTGCATTCAACATCTTTGTAACCACGTAGATTGCCTTAGCGAAAAAATCGGGATATGAAGATATCAACATGGGAAGAAGAAGATGATGATGATGATGATGAACAATGGGATGCAAATGGTGTACCTGGCTGGTACCTGGTACATACCGTACAAAGCCACATTTTGGAACCGAGCCAAAGATGCCAACAAGGGTCGAGAAGCAGCAAGCTCCATGGTTTGAGAAAGGGAGTCTGGCCTGATGCACTCGATGCGATTCACTGAAGATGTTGGTAAAAAAAACGGTTTTTGCATCCACTGCTTGAACGCTTCATCATCATTTTCATCATTGTCCCCAGTGTCTATCCATTCACCATTTTCAGGTCCAGTCCCCAGTGTTGATGTGCACCTCTGAGCCGCCACCAAGAAAGGAGCCAAGAAGAGTAGCAACGGAGCCATGATGTCGCGATGGGCGGAATGGTACCAGGGCTGGTTCACTTTGAAAGCTGGTACCAGAGCCGGAGCGAAAATGCTGGGCGCGGAACGAGACCAAGGCGCCCTAAGAATGGACCGCAATTAGATCCTCCAAGCACCCGTAAAAAATTGTAAAAATCAATATGCACATATGATTTCAAAACATTGTATATAAATATGATTATATAATAATGTGTATGTGTTAAAAACCCCTTTTTTTCGAGGTGCTTGAAGAGTCTATTATGGAATGACCCGTTAATCTCGGCTTGGGCTGTGCAGCAATGGATTCATTTTCGCATCTCTCAACTACTACGAATGGTGAAACTCTGGGTTTGCATGCTCGCCATGTCTTAAACAGGAAGTCCATGTTCATCTCACATTCACTTTGGTTGTTCATGATATCACCTTTAGCTCCGTGTTTGTTCTTACATGCTACTCAAGCCATGATGTTGTAACATGTTGTAACCTTGTTTTCATCTGCAAAAACCAAGGCACAAATGCAGGATTCACTGATTCACCGTCGCACCTATGATGTAAAGTAAAGTAAAATAACCATGTTTGAAACCATCACCCAGTCACTCAGCATGGAGAACTCTGTTGGGAACTCCACACCCTCTGCCGCGGTGCCGTGGGAACCACTTCACTTGGGCAAGGCCCCGTTAGTCACACCTGGAGAAAGGGTGGAACCGATCTGAGTAGAAAAAATATTTGGAACATGGAAAGCACTTGGAGATCTAAACAATTCACCAAGGAAAAACTCGGATATACCCTGGATGTGGATAGATTGAGGGGCAAAAATAATTCTGGAGGTGCCGTTGTGGCTTCTCAAAATCCAATTGAACATCCGCCACACTACCCGAGCCAGAGTCATAGAATGCTATATATATATATGTTATGATCGTCACACCATCATTCTGGATCCACTATAACTACTATTATAACTACTATTATATATAATTATATATATATATATTACTTATTTATAATGGGTATATTCCTAAACATGGGGAAATTATCATCCCCCCTTATGTCAACATTTATATGCAGCGTAATATAGCTCTATGATTAATTAATCCAAATTTTGACCGTGGCACAGAGCCTTGCACTGGAATGGAAGCCACTTCCAGCAAATGAACCTGTTGGGATCAGAGTCCGTTGGCACAGGCGCTACAAGAAAAGAGGAAGTGATATCTTGGTTTAGCAATGTTTGGTTATATAGTTATATGATGTATGTATGTATATATAATATATATATATATATGTCTAAGTGGCAGTGTGTCAAAACCGTGTACCCCTGTAGTTCACATCAAAATAGCTGGTAAATGGATGTTCATCCCCCTAAAAATGGTATTTTCATAGGTATTGATCCATACCCAAGTTGGTTTTTGCTTTATTGGAAATCTCAGGAATTTGGTGGATTTCACCGACAGGTGAAGTGTCACTGCTTTTTTGTCTCAGCTTTCGGCCGCGGTGCCAAGACCTCCACAGGTGCAGGACATCGCCACTGGGGTGTCATGGGGGTGATGTACCCTCTGGTTATGACTAACATAGCCATGGTTAAGCCATGGCCCATAGAAATAGATGGTTTACCTATAGCATGGTGATTTTCCATGGCTATGTTAGTCATAACCAGATGGTAAATAGATTTGAACAATTACATGGGTCCCATGGTTTCTCATCATTTTGCCAATTAGAATAGCTCATATTTTGGCAGGAAATCACCCAGTTTGAGACCCAATATGTAAGTCCCTGGCTATCGTTGAAGAAGCTGATGAAGATCAGGAAGTAGACCAGGCCTCGGCTAGCACCCAAATGATTGAGATGGGAAAAGAAAGGATACCTGGGGGTCCAGTCAACAAGAATCGTGGATGCAAAATGGAACAACTGCTTTGTAATGCAGCTACCCAATCGAAACAAGTGTTTTGTTAGCTTAGCAAACAAATGGCTTTGTCTGAAAAAGGGTGCCCCGAAACCCAATGGATCAAAATTTGTTCCCCATTAAAGTGGCCATTTCGTGGGTACATATTCCGAAGGATTATGCCTTGAACTCAAGCAAAACAAAAACAAAATGCTGGACTGTGTTCTAATCCGTAAATTAACATAAAACGACTATTTGGGTTTGTCTGAACATACCCTAAAATTTGATGGTTCATCATGATTTTCCCTATTGAAATGACAAGGGGTTCGACCCCATTTTCAGACTAAGTGATTTGTTTCATCATCTTCCATTGGAAAACCATGTATTTCTGGCCTGGAGGATAGATCACGCGTCCAGATGACTAAGGACTGCGCCGACAACTGCAGCCACAATAAAGGTTACCACCACCTTGGACTGCGCGATGAATCTCAGAGCCATGTCCAAACCTTGAAACGTCTGGTTCAATGCTTTGTGAGCAATATCAATATGGTTAACCATCATTTTAGCTACCGTCCATTGATTATCATCCAGTAGTTTGCGATCAACTGCCATTTTTTAGGAATGAACAATCACAACTCTATGAGGGTCTGTCTGAAAATAAGGGTAGCACCAGGTTTCATGATTGATCATGTTCCCTCCTGAAATAGCTTATTTAGGGTATTCCACATTTTCAGTCACAGCCATATATAAACCATGACCATGACCCAGTTTTGGGAGCTAGAAAATTCCCACGCCTGCTTACCCAGCACTGCGTGCCTGCTTCAAAGTGTGATCACCATTGTACCAGCCTCGGCACAGGTCATCGCAGCTGACAAATTCTGACGCTCCAGATGTGTTGTCCTACCGTTTGATACGCATTGCCCAAGGGAAGTGCGATATCATAATATCACATGTGTGGCTTGTAATTAAATCATGCTATATCAATCTATATTGATCCCAAATCATAACATACATATCATGGACTTCATGTAATCTATAAAAACATAGCTATAGGGGGTCCCCCAAAAGGTAGAAGTGTTATTTTCCAGAATGATTCGTTCGATGATGCATTCCCATAATGTCCAAGTTTCCAACTGTTCTATCCCTTTGCCTCCGAAAAAAAAAAAAACACATCGGGAACTATCAGGTGAACGTATTGCGGGATCATGTCTAGATACCTTGAACATCCATCCATCTATCCATCCATCTATCCATCTATCTAATCTAGTCTAATCCTATCTAATCTAATCCATCTATCTATCTATCTATCTATGAATCTATGTGACGTGATCCGGAAGTAGCTCTAATCTCGGGATCCCGTACGTGCCCAGGGCATCAGGGGCATCAAGAGGACCAGAATCAAGGCTACCTGGGCCAGTGACATAGATAGCTAAGTCTACTATAGTTATCATTGTTATTATAGTTAATTATATAATATATGAGGTCAATGATAGATGTATCATGCTATCTATATATATATATATTTATTTAAAAAAATCTAAATAGTTAGTAAATCTATGGGTAGTATATCAAAAAATGTCTACTATCTCTATGTAAATATATTTTTACTTAGGATTTACATACTATAGACATACGAACATGATGTATGTTATATGTTTGAAGTTTATACTATATTATATCTGCGATAGTTGATATATCTATAGTTAGTATGCATAGTTACTACAACTTAATGACATTACATAATATGGTACTAGTTACTAGTACCATACATGTATATGTTGCAATGGCTAGTAGAATTACTTGGAAAACTTGAATAGTATAATTGATATATGAAACACATTTGTTCGATGTCTATGTGGCATGCGATATCTATAACGTTTGTTCACATTAAAATAGTTTGATATATCGTATGCATGAAATAAGTCCCACTTAACTAGTTAACCCAATACTGGTCCAACTTACCTATTGTCTGGGGGGCCCTGTAAAGGCATGGGTCAAAGTTGGGTGTCCGTCAATGTAAATTGGGACTAGCCCTAGATCACAGGATGAACCTGCCGAATATACCACTCTATATGGCTACAAATAGAGTGCCATACACATATTTACAAATTAAATTTGGATGGGTGAAAATGCAGCAAACTGATATATATATATATATATAAGTGGGGCCCGCATTTTCCCGGACCATCACGCATGTTCGGCATGTTTTACTTGTTAACAAATTTACTGAGTACAAATAGAGGGTCAAGGTACAGGAAGTGAGGTTCAACTCGTACCGCAACATTGCGTTGATGCTGCAAAAAAAAAACAAAATCGTTTAAATATAGGTTTCACCAGGAGATAGGAATCAGAACGGACGATGGATTTTTTTCTCGCATTGGAGCCAGCTCATGTTCTCAGGTTGTGTACATCAGAGTCTCCAGAAAGACAGAACCGAAATAATCGGTGTGAGTTCGATTTGCTGACCACAAACAAACAGTAGCTATAAATTCCCCAAGTAGGGGATGTTCCATATGTTCCATATGTTCCATTGGCAAAATAAACAATCATTGTCTCATTAAATTCAAGATAGTTGATTTCCCATTCAATCCCAATAATTCATTATACCCTCTGGTCAACATACAAAAAACTATGGAAAATCAACATTTTTGAGTAAATGAACTATTTCTATGGCTATTTTCAATAGCAAACTGTTAGCTTACTAGAGGCTAATCCCAAGAGTTCCAATGTATTTTGCTGAGGCTGAGACCATCAGCAAACGATGGCGCATGGCCTGGTGACGGTCCATGGGACATGGCTCCTCGATCCGCGTTGCACGGAGCTTACACGGCTCCGTGCAACCGAGGGTGTTTACCAAGGTTCCTCGCGGCAAAAGTGGTTGCTTCAACAGTGTATTATGTATTTAATATACATTAATATTATATATTTATATATAACGGGTTCTCCATGTTTTTCCAGCAAACAAGAAACAAATTAGCCCATCAAGCCACAAGCCAAAAACGCCGCCCGATGCTGAACCCGGCCTCCAATACGTAAAAGGTCAGAAGACTTTGACAAATCCTGGGGATGACAGGTCAAAGGGGTGATAACAGTGCCAGATTTTCAAGGTGCACATGGAATCAGAATTTAAGACATTTTAAGACCTAAAACCAGCCAATTTGTTCTATGCCTAGTTTTCGTATGTTATACTAAATTTAATTGTTTATTTTGATCCACCGGTTTCTTTCGCATTTGCTCATCCCACAATGCTGTGTATGTACCTGTCCCAAAATGATGCATCAATCATTTGAACTATGCCCAAATATTCGGATGAAAAGGTATAGTATAGGGATTTTCTAGCGGTTTCTTTCCCAGATTCATGAACCCTGGTTGATTAATTCGGGAGTTATCCGCCCAAAAAAAACGTGCAGTGTTGCTAAAAGTGCTAAATTTGGGGCGCCCCAATTGAACAGCCCAAGGGTGAATCAAAATCCGAGGTTGGCTTCAAGTTCATGACCATTTTGAACTGGCAGTTTACCACCTGTGTTTATCACACAAGAATCCAACTTCCACAGTGCTGCACAGCAGTGGTATGACCACCGATCAATCACCAAAATTTCAGATTTCAGTGACTCCACGCTTGAGTTTGGGACAAATATAATTAGAGGTGCTCCAGGCAACCTAGTGTTGTTTGTGAATTATTGACTCTCACAACGATGGACATTTCGGAGAAAATATATACAGTATATCTGTATACAGTATATACAGTATAATTACAGATCAGTACAGCCATATTTTCAATCTTTGGATCTCCAAAATTGGCAGGGGATGACCATTTCAAGGTCCAAGCCGAATTTTCCACCGAGGGGCATCACATGGCCCGAAGGCATGCCAGGAAGCAGCTTGCCGTCTTCCGTCCTGCGGCAAGCATGCAAGGGGGAGGAACAAATCTCAGAGGCTACGGAACTCACGTTTCCCATATAAACATATATATGACCACCAAGATCCACCAAGACTGTGACCCCCGAAACCACGCGTCTGCAAGCAAATTGCGGGGTTTTCTGATATGTGCCTGGACACCCCGATCAACACCAAACATCAGCTTCTCCCATGTCTGGGCCAAACCCTGCAGTTTTTGTTGGCTCCTACAAGCAGAAGTTGCTGGTCGAGGCTCCGCAATGAGGGGCTTCAGGAGGCACTGAGATAGCGTCGAAGCTTATAGGGACCCATTCGCATCATGCGCATGTGGAAATGGATGGACCCAAAGGGAGGGATGGGCATCCATTTCTCTATACTGATGGCTGAGGTTTTGCCCCTTTGGTGCTGCAACAACATCAACGTTCATCACCGTCACAGTGGTCACATGTGGACACATTGCCCATTGTTAATGAAAGCATCAGTACCATCGGGGCAGGTCCAGAATGCATGCATTTGCAATCAGGTTGGTGGCTTCAACATGTGCCAAACATATTGGTCGATGGTTCATAATCATCGCACATGCCAAGTAGTACACGCATATGATAAACAAAAAAGAAGACGAACCGTTTGAAACCACCAGCAATGGCCTGCATATCCTGCAAGGATCCCAACTACATACAGTATAAGCTGCTGACTTGGGAGAACATTTGCCATACTGAAACACTGTGGGGAAGTCAAGAGTATAGTCCGCTCTACCAACTCCACGTTGCGTCACAGCTGGATCCTAAAGTGATCCGTTCCGAAAGACATGGATGTTGATGGATGTTGATGGATGTTGGTGGATGTTGATGGATGTTGATGGATGTTGATGGATGTTGATGGATGTTGATGGATGTTGATGGATGTTCAGCCCAACAAAAATAAATGATTTCAACCATCATAACCATCTCATTAAGCCTTTTTAAGCATTTCTAAGCCGTGGACGGCGGTTGCCCCATCCCCACCTCGCTCAAGATGCTTGTCACGACGATCTCGGCCGGCGAGAACGGTGGTTGTTGGAACCATTGGAACCGTTGTGTTCCCAGTTCCGCTTGCTGTGGTTGATGGGAACTTCCAAGAAGAGAAATGGTGCAACTATGAAAACTATAATGCACATATATATATATACTGTATATAATATAATGTATATATGATTGTATATGTATTATGTATCATGTAAATGCTAAACATGTACAGTATATATATATACATAGTGCGTAAATACGTATATTAATCATGTATTATATATATATACATACATATACGTGTCTTCAAATTATAACTAGTTAGTCTGATTCTAGCAGATTCCTGCAAATTCTATGTGATTGATGATTTTTTGGGCTTTGCGATAAACCTTTGACAAATACGAGCATGTTGACATGTACTTTCTGTGGTCTCCAGTGGTTGACGGTTAAGATCTATTGAGTTGCCCTAATAGACGGGATGACACTGGGGCACGGGCTGCGCACAAAGCAAAGAAGCTGGAGGCTCGCCTGTCGGATCCAGGTGTCTAATAGTTTTTGTTGGGGATTTGATAGGGGTCTAATAGGGGTTGATAGGGGTCCAAGAGAGGCTTAACAGAGGTCTAATTGGAGTTGGCTGCCTACTTACCCTCAATTCGCCATGTATTGGGGGTCGATGCCCCATTTGCAGACAGAATCATATCACAGGCTTTCAGTGGACCAACATTGCTGTCTAAAGTTTTCTAAGCTTGACCCATGCCATATGTTCCCTGGCCAAAACGATGTTCATGGAGCATGGTTATCCTGTACCACTCTCAATTCAGTCTATTAGTCTATTGGTCACTGATTTGGCATCTGAATCTGGGCAATCCATCATGAATCCAGCAGCAGTAGATTAAGGCGCTAATCCTGCAGCATAGCCATGGAATTCGCCCAATGATAGATGCTGCTGCTTAAATTTGCCCCTGGCTTTGTTAGATAATCCCTGAACAATTGTTGCTCTGCGATGAGAACATATGATCCACCAGTAACCCAACGGGTGAACATACCCATTTGCCCAAGAATTTGTTCGTCTAATTTTCTACTTCCAGCCGGGGGTCTAAGCAGCTATACTTGGATGATCATCCCATGAATCGTAACTGCTTCACAACCATACGTTGCTCACCCATTTGCACCTGGCATACCTAGGATAGCTCCCATTCAGATAGCTTTCCAGAAAGGGTGATCTATAGACTTAGTTAAGGACTATGAGAACCATGGAGAATGTTTCAGCATGATCCCCTTGCCAGCAATAGTTTACGGGCTTGCAAAGCAGGATTATTAACCAGTTTCTAGAAATTATAGTTTATAAGATATGATTTATATATAACTATATTTTTTAAAAATAACATTCAATAGGTGTATCCTCCCCATCTTTGGTCATACGCCACGTTTATGACTCATCACAAGTAGTTTGAATGGTTAGAGGACGCAATGTTATGATTGACTGGATCAATCTATACATTGCCAGCAATTAGCTTGGTTGGATAGATCTAATATGCTATGCCAATGTTATAAATATATAATACTTAAACAGTAACCCCTCATATATTTATGTATATGCATATTATATATATACAATATGTATATGTATGCAATATGTATATATATATATGTACATACACACATTCTCCAACGATTTCAATCATTTTTGTTGCGGCTAAAGCTCCAAAACCTCCCTGACCCACGAACTCGCGCACCGATGCAGCATACCGTCCATCACCAGCAGCACCGGCACAGCCCAGGGAAGAAAGCTGACGCTTTGCGCGGTCGTGGCGGTGCCCAAAACCGTGTGAAAGTCCCCATAAAGTGGTTGAACAAGTGAGGGACACCTGGAAATGATCGGGAAAACGCCATGGAAGCAGCATTCTGGAAGCAAGTTTTGATCTTTTTGGGGTTAGTATTGTATAAAACCAACACGCTTGAGTCTCAATGTACCAGAAACGGAGATATTCCATTGCAAATGCAAACTATTTTGTTGTTACTTGAGCCAAGCCCGGTATTAAATGCTAAATCATGGTTTAATTCGGACAATCATGCCATAATGAAGTCCAGTAAAAAAATGGGTAATGATGGTTTATTTGTGGCGTAGTACTTGGAAAATGATGGGATAGTTATCACAATAAACCTCCCCTATCCCCTATTGGTATTTATTATCGGATATGCCCCATGTGGGATGATATCCTTTTAAAATCACCAAATGCTTGGTTACTGGGGTTGATTTAGTATGGGGTCTACACGTATACCCCATGGTGAGGTTGTTCCATGGACTTTATGTAAGGATTCATCAGGGTAGTACCAGTAGTACCAGCAAGACCCACGAAATCTCTTAGCCCAAAATAGGCCTGAGATGGGGAAAAACCTCTGCAAACAAACATGGCAATGGAAAACGACCATCTTCAAACACAAGAAATTTTAAAAATAATCCCACTAGTCATCGTTGATGCTGGCACGATCTTCCAGAGGCGGGAGCAAATGCCGCTGTGAAAGGACCTTATATGCCGTTTATTGCTGTATTTGTCAGTTTGACCCGCGCCAAGCACCCTCAATCCTTTTTTGGACTCTGAAAAACGCATACAATGCATACAATCAGCATCAACATAAAGATTATAAAGATTATCAATCTCAAATCTGTTCCCTTTACATCCCTCAGCTCATTTGATATCCGTGTACTTTGCAAATTCCAGAGATCACATCAAGCACCACCTGTTCCCACAAAAAAACTCCTCAGCAGGTACATCCCACACATGGGCTGAATTATCCCCTATGTTTCCTAAATTAGGGGTACCCCCCCTAGATGATGTTCCAATGTTCAACCCTCTTCAGGGTGCCAGTAATAAGGGTGCCCATTGAAATACCCAATTTCACCCATTCCCCCAACACCTTGTGACCAAGGCCAACATCGGCAAAGGGCTCAAGTCTAGCCTGCGTCAATTAAGGCCACAGGGACATTTTGGATGGGCGTTTCTCCCGTTTCGCCCAAGAAGATGTGCGCCGAAAATCATGGACAAAGTTATGGTTTAACCAATTTTAACCATCAACAAATGGGAATTTCATGGGAATGGTGTTTACCATCTGGTAATTCAACAGTTTGCTACGGGAACCCACCTGATTCACCTATTAAACATGGTGATTGTCCATATGCCCATATGCTCCAACCGGTGCTACAAGGATCTGAAAGGCAATGATTAATGATCCATGAATTAGAGCTGGAATCTACCATGTATAATAGATCACCCTGAGTGAAACAAACACGGAAAACTCATGGTGAAACAGTGAAACCCTGACATGATCTATAGATAGTGGATTCTCGTGGATTCTCCATATCAAAGATGATTTCTTACTGGGTATATACCCGCTGAACCCTAAATGTCACGTGAACATAGGAACAATTGGGCGACAACCATTTTTGCTTCCAAGGGTTGGCTGCAAATGACTCCCGCAACCATTGGGCGATGTGAAAAACTGGGACCTGTGATCACCCTTGAGGTGAAACATTACCACCTGAAAGTCTGCGGGAGATTCTTCTACTCAACTTATATTTATGAATTATTTAGATATTATAAATTATAATTAGTAGAACAATATTTGAACATGTTCAATAACTACTGTTGATTGTTCAAAAGTATATCTTCCTAATAGGTTCTTCTGGTACAATTTGACGGGAAAAAAATAACCTGATTGCTGTGCTTGCCCTCAAACACGCCAAGGCAACGGGAGGCGAATGGTCACTTGACCCACCTCGGATCGCGACAATCCGAAACGATAAAATCATATAAGCGTGTGTCTGAACGTGACGTGAGGTACCCAAAAAATGCTTGTGAATCAGTGAATCATCACGATGTTTGCCATGGGTATCCCCCATTTTCAGACCCCATATCTGTGAGGACTCTTCGTAAACACCTCAAACTCTGGGGACCGGGACTGCAAAGGATTCATCCTTTCCGGCGACTTGACTTTCAATATCATCTTGCCTTAGAAGCTGAGCCAGCCTTTTAAACATGATGTGTGTTTTAAGGATATCAGGAGATCAATCAGAACGCTGGTGGCCTCTTAGAGGATGTCATGCCCTCCAGGATGGAGGTAAACAAAAGGGCCACTGCTTGCCCTGTGGGTACCGGAACAGGGTCGACCCCGGAGTCAATCCCCGAGCAAATTGTGAACAAATGCTGGTGGCAGGTAGCTAATTACATCTAAGTTATGCCCAGTTCATCTGTGTTCCGTGGTGAACTTGGCGTTTACTGCAAACTCCGACATGCCATCCTCAATTTTTTTGAGCCATGCACGCAGTCCGTCGCAGTGCCATGCTCTGCAAGAGGCGCTACCTTGGCTGCCTTAGATCAATATATAATAAAACCATATCAGTCAGGCTCTAGGCAGCTTGGTGCAGTGCCTATGCAGTGGTTGGTGAATACTCTTCCGCCCACAGGCAATTTTTGGAGGACGCTCCTCGCTGTTGGATATGTTGAGTGATGTCCGACCCTGCGGATAAAGCTTGACCAGTGTCCCTTTGGAGCCAAAAGGAAGACACCAGCTGCCTAACATAACCCTGGCGCTATGACGGATACCCATGGATACCCCAGACCACACATCACTGAAACACATTTCAAGGCAACTCAAACCAGCACTGGTTCTGCTTCTTTTTATCGTCACCTGGTCGGCTGCTCTCAGTTCTCACCCGGCGGTGTTTTCGACCTCCTCCTAGGGCTACAAGGTAGACCAGCATCGATTGTTCTTTATCAATTCAATTGGATGTGAATCGATGTGTGTCCATATATGTCCACATATATATATATATATACGTATATATATATATATGTGTCACCATACATGTGTAAATGTATGTAAACAATTTGTATAGTATATGTATATGTATAACATATGCATAATATAATATATGTAAAATATGTTGTATATAATATGTATCATATATGTGTAATATATGTGCAATATATGTGTAATATATGTAAAATACGTGTACACATACCTGTATAATATATGTAATATATATGTAAAATATATGTATAATATATTTATGATATATATATATATGTATAATATATATATATATACATATGTATAATATATGTATAATATATGATAATGAATTCTTAATATTGTAATAGATCAAACTATGTTTATATAATATATCATAGTCATAAAATATTAAAATATAGTATAAACTACTATCATATATGATACATTATCAAAATATTGTTTGAAACATGTTATATTATAATATATGATAAACTGTAATAAGCTAATTTAAAAATCAAATTATACGTTAAACTATATTAAAATATATTATATTATGTTAAAATGTACTAGAATATGCTAAACATATATTATCATAAGTTCTAATATATATATATATATATGTTAGTATAATATATTATTGGAACACCAACATATTATATAATATATTGTAATATATGTATGCATAATTATGTATATATACATATATATACGAATAGATATACAAATAAATAAATATATATATATATATAGATAGAAAAACAGATAGATAGATAGATAGATAGATAGATAGATAGATAGATAGATTAACTTTATCAACATGTATATTCTATATACGTGATATACTTGCAATACATTTCACCTGAACCACCACCCATAAACATGTAGGTGATTGTATTGATTCCATAAGATGATACTCTTGAACTTCAGCTGTGGATACCAGGTCTAAATGCAAACGGATTAGTGCGAAACTGTTGCAAAAGCGTCAACATGCATAGAAAATGTACGGAGAAACCTCAAAGATACATTATATATCCATTCGAGTTGGCATTTAAAGGGTGTTTCAAGCCAAACTGCTATAGTGTTTGCCTTTTCTTTCTGGGGACCGCAAACTGACTGGACAGTGTAGGTATGCTGCAAACCCATGGCCAGCATGACAAGTCAAAGGAAACCAATGCACAAACTGCTTCCAAGTTTGAAACGCATTTTTTCGTCATGTCTCAAGCGTTTCCACGCCGCTGTGTGCACTTCTTTGGCAAGCACGGCACAACCGGTTGCTGGTTTCAACCGCCCTGAAAGATCTTGAACATCTTAGATCATGATCCCAAATGCGCGGGTGGAAATGCGGGGGAACAAGATCTTTGAAACCAGCAACCAAGCAAACAATTGACTGGACTTGCTGTTCCGTTTTGGAATCGCTGGGTCAGTTTTTTCTGCTTGAGCTCAACTGTGAAACTACGCACGACGTGAAAACGCACCCTTATTGCTGCTCGCAAAACTCCCAATCATCGAAATTTCGGGATCGAGGAAAAAACCTCCAGACTCGAAAGATGCTATGTACAACTTGACCAGATACTTTTGTTAGCCGCAACTCACTTTGTGCCTTCAATTTGTCCCGGCAATGTGTTGTTGTTTGACTCCGCCATCACCTCCTGCGCGGGCGCCACAGGCGCTGCAGGCGCTGCAGGCACTGCAGGCACAGGGTTCTCCACATCCGGTGACGTCTTCCGAGGATCCAGTGCGGGGTCATAAGCTTGGACGGGCCACTTACGGGCGATCTGGTCTTTCACAAAGAGCTGGTGGAGAAAAATGCCGTACATCCTGAGTGATGCAGATATCATGTTAAGATTGTTATTGATACTATGTGGTCTGTATATATATATATATATCTATTTATGGTCATATGTATGTATGTATGTCTGTATGTATGTCTGTATGTACGTACATACGTACGTCGGTACGCATGTGTGTATGTATGTGTGTATGTATGTGTGTATGTATGTGTATGTATGTGTGTATGTATGTGTATAAACGTGTATGTATGTGTAAAAGCGTGTATGTATGTGTATGTATGTATGTCTATGTATGTCTATGTATGTCTATGTATGTCTATGTATGTCTATGTATGTCTATGTATATGTATGTGTATGTGTTTCTATGTATGTGTATGTATGTCTATGTATGTCTATGTAGGTCTATGTAGGTCTATGTATGTCTATGTATGTCTATGTATGTGTATGTATGTATGTGTATGATGTATGTGTGTGTCTATGTATGTGTGTGTCTATGTATGTATGTGTGTATGTGTGTATGTATGTATGTATGTATGTATGTATGTATGTATGTATGTATGTATGTATGTATGTATGTATGTATGTATGTATGTATGTATGTATGTATGTATGTATGTATGTATGTATGTATGTGTATGCATGTATGTATGTGTATGCATGTATGTAAATGCAGCAAATGCAAATGTAAATGTAAATGTACATGTAATGTAATGTAATTTAATGTAATGTAATGTAATGTATGTAATGTATGTATGTATGTATGAATGAATGAATAAATATGAATGAATGAATAAATTAATGAATTAATTACTGGATGTATAAATGTATGCATGCTCGCATGCATGCATGCATGTGTGTGTGTATGTAAACATGTATATATATATATATTATATCCCTCCGGGGCGGACGTCCCATTGGGGGTTTAGTTACGTTGTAATTTGTTCAGGGGATATGTCTCAGATTGTTTTAGGGTTTGCTTAGGGTTGGTTTAGATTGTCTATAGGGTTTGTTTAGGGTTTGGTTAGTTTTAGGGTTTGCTCACGGTTGTTTTAGGGCCTATTTAGGGTTATCTATGGCTGATTTAGGGTTGGTTTAGGGATTGTTTAGGGTTTATTTAGGGTTAGGTTATTTTGGTGTTCTTTCAAAGTCTTGCGGTTTGTTGAGGTCTCAGTTAACGGCTCGAAACGCTGCAAAATTGAGAGGATATCTTCAAGATACGCTTCAAAAGGTGATGTTGGCGCCGTCTTAGGTAAGCGCAAAAAAAAACACGAGACGCAGGTAATATCAATATTTTGCATGCTCGCAGTGTGCGAAAAACGCACGGAAACAGCACAGCAGATTGCAGTCCCGCATGGCATTCCGTGGAATTCGGGCAAACGTCAGCCCCCTAGCCATATGTATATATATATATAATTATATATATATATATGTGTGCACATCATGAAGTACTATGGTAATCCATTATATCATATCATAGCAACGAATAACAAAGCTAACAAGACAAGAATCAACCATAATCAACCAACATGCAAATCCCCAACGACCTTTTTTCCCCCAAACAACTGTTTTTTTGCCCCAGCAGTACATATGAAGGATATGAGAGCCAATCATGATCATCAGTCCATTTGCCAGCTTGTATGGATCTATGGGTATGTCTGAATATGGGGTATACCCCGAAATGTCAATTTTCATGGGAAAGAGGATGATATATCAATGGATTTGGGGATGCCCAAAAAAGACAAAAAAGTCAATGAGCGAAACTGCCCCTGCCAGCCAGCATCACATTGACCAGAACCAGCCAAAAGAGAACCAACATTCCCAGGACAATCAAGCATACCGCCAGAAAGACCATGAGACCCAGCAGGACGACAGCAAATGGATTGTCACCACCACAGCCACCACACCTGCTGGGGGAAAGCACCGGAAAAACAAAATAAGTGATGATGGAATGTGTATTTATTTGGGATCATCCTTTATGGTTGGGAAGGACCAGATATAAAATATCATCAAATTTGAAAACACCGACGAGACACTCACAACTGCAGCAGCCATCACAATTGCAGTTCCCGCAGTCGCAGCCCTTACAATCGATTCCTCCTCCACCCCCACAGTTGCATTCGCAACCTGAGTCCATGTGAACAACCCTCAACCAAGGAGAACAATGCTTCAAATCTTGAGTTCCCAAAAAGTATTCCCTTAAAGAAATATGTCAAATATTCCCAACTCCATAATGCGACAAATCCCAGCAACAGCGGGAACAGCCTTCATCACAAAGACCGCAGCAGGCCTCGCAGGGGCAGCAGATGCTTCGGTCACCGAAGACGCAGAACCAAAAGCAAGCGTCTTGCAGGTCACATTGGTGGCACTTGCAGCCATGACAACCTGCTTCTCCGAAAAAAAACTGACGTTGGGCATATCGAATGGGGGTGATTTAATGAGGATTTAATGGATTTAATGCTGACTTTGAGTATATTTATGGTGATTTGATGGTGTTTTTTTCATTAGAATCAAATAAATTTCAATGGGGATGTGGACAGATGGTGCGAGGATGGACGGATGGATGGGTGGATGGGTGGGTGGTTGGGAAGATATAAATGTATAACTATACATATAATTATATATAATTATATATATAATTATAATATTATATTATATATAATTACATAATTATATATCTACACATATGTTTATATTCATATGATAGATGTGGAGATTTGATGAATAAAGTTGTCGGGTGTATTAAACCAACCATTTTTTGGATATATAATGGGGAACTCATAAATGGATATGGGATAGAACCAAGTTTGTCCAAAACCAAGGGATGCCCCGAAACAATGCAGTTCCAAATGGAGAAAGTATAGTTAAAACATGTTAAAACCTAGCAGCAATCCGTGCAGCAGTCTCCCTTGCGGCGATTCTGGCGTGCCCCGGTCACCCAGGGTGTTCCAGTCATTCTGCGGGCACGGTCCATGCGTTGTCGCAAGCGTCCCGTGATGAACAAGAAGAATAAATAGATGGTGGTCACGACACCAATCAGAAAGAAATTGAAGCATATACCTGAACAAATAGGATCTAGTGCAGCAAATATAGATGAGGATTTACTTTCACCACACACATTGACAAAAAACAATAACAACGTGGGGATGTATAGTTGGTTCATGTCAACATTGACAAAAAAAATATGTACATACCTGATACACAAATCATGATAAACCGGTTCAATCGGGTATGTATCAAATAAATACTATATATACATAATTATGTATGTATGCAATATATATATATATATATTATACATATATATACATATATATATATATACATATAAATACATACATAACTATGTGACTACGTGCAGTTCAGAGATATTCACCGTACTTTGACCATCAGGTTCGTTGCCCCAAAGACGCGTTTCTACGACTGGGTCAAGTTCTGAGGGATGCTGATCCAGCTCCAGATCTATGGATGACCATTGCCCTTCAATTCAGCTAAGTTATTACCATAAGATCCCCCCCAAAAAAAAGCAAGGTAAACAAGAACATCTAGGCAATTCTAGATATTTTATTAAAATCAAGAAAAACATCTCAGACATCACCAAACACCAAAAATATCCAAAACTATGCACAAAGAAAAGGGTCCTGAGATGTTGGATAGTGCTTATTTAAACTTGCCATCAACATGGATCCAATTGATGCACCAAGTGAGAAATCCTCTGAAGATTTGCTCCGAGTCCAAGGGCCTGCGAAGAAGAAGCCCCTCATGGTCTCCGGCTTGATGAAGGTAAGCCTTCCCCAGTGCACGACATCAAAGATCCCTGTGACCCGAATGACGTGACCAAAGAGGAGAGCCAAACCGAAGAAAAGAACGATGTAGAACACGAATGACACCTGGGCAGTCTCTAGCCGGCAGAAAACAAATGGTAATCTCACATTGCGGAAAACCACCATTTATGCAGAACAATGTTGAAGAGGTAAATCATCTACAAAGGAACCATTTTCAAACTTTTTGTGCGTATATATATATATATACACAAATATGTGTACATACATATGTGTATATATAATTATATATATATATATGCTACCCCCCAAAAAAACACCGCGCAGAAGGTTCAAATGCTAAGTGATGTCAAGGAACATGTGTTTGGAAACATGGTTTCTTTTCAGAATGATATTAAGCCTTCCTTCAATCATACAATATTTCTTTCAAAACACCAGATTCCTACATAATTTGCAGTGTATTGCATGTGTATTGCATTTTATTGCAGTGTGTGATTAACATGCAGTATTGCTGTCGAAAAGTGCAATGGTCGATGCACATTGCTGCATTCCTGGAAAAAAGTACTGTTCAAGGAACATGCTGCTTACATGTTACAATCTGCCTTGAAGATATTCCCTTGAGTAAGAAGCAGTATTCTTAAAGAAACATGCAATAGGTGGAAAAATGCAATACAACCTTCAATAAAGCTCAGCCCTCCTATCATGTTTCTTACATGACATGCTTTTTCAGGGAAAACTTAGATGAGATTAGATTAGATTATTAGATTAGATTAGATTAGATTATACTATATAGATGGATAGATGGATGGATGGATGGATAGACGGATAGATGGATGGATAGATGGATAGATAGATAGGTGGATAGATAGGTTGGTAGGTAGATAGGTAGATAGGTAGATAGGTAGATACATAGATAGAGAGGAGACAGAGAGACAGAACCTCAACCACCTTTCGGTCCATCAGTTCCCTCTGTCATCCTTGAATCACAACAACCAAACTCTCCTATAGGTTTCGTATCTATGAAACGTGTGCGACACTTCCACCACCGCCTTGTGCGGTACCTGTACTACTGGTAATTTAAAGTGTTTTCACTGCCTCTTTCAGGTTTGGGGAAAAGACCGAAAATTGATGAAAATTGAGAGTCTTTTCATGTAGAGAATGCCCTTACCCGACATTGGTATCAAATGGTTTTGGTTCGGATCAATCATTGAAGATTGAGGAACTGAGAAAACTTCTTCCATCCAGGACCGAAGATTTAAGACCTGAGACACATTTCTTCAACCCAGGCTTTAGGATTGAAGTTTGAAGATTGAAGGCCTGAGAAAAACTTCTTCCATCCAGGATTGAAGATTTAAGACAAGACCTGAGAAACACTTCTTCAATCCAGGCTTTAGGATTAAAGTTTGAAGATTGAAGGCCCGAGAAAAACTTCTAAACGTTTGCAACCGTTTGCAAACGCCCTTGGAGGAAATGTTCCCTGAGTGAAAGACTACATAGGCTATCATCTGCTTATCTATGTAGTTTATTAGATGTGTATGTATATTATATATATATATGGTACCCATAGGTCCTTTTAAAACCATACAGTTACAACCCCTCAAATGCATCAAATTCAGTGGAATTAACGGTGGAATATGATCTTCGGTGCTTTTTGTTTTGCGGAAGGTACCACACATATATATATATATATAGCTATGTTTTAGATCATCAGAGGGTCACTGGCTTGAGTCTACCACCACGCTCCCCAAAACAGGACATAATTCATTTTCGTACTTTTCCCAGCCACGCAGTAGAAGACCAAGTGAACTGTGCACGCGCCAACACCTTGACCTATACGATAGTGATATTGGCAAACTTCGCAGCGTGTTAAGTTGGCAGGATTCATTCCAGATATTCTCCAGGAATCCTTGGATTTGCAGAGAAAGGGGGGTCGGTCAAAAAATAAACATATTGCAGATTCCCCACTTTGGGTGAATTAAACTACTGTAAACATGTTCCAAAAAAAAACATCTATTATACTCAGCAAATGCCCAGGAATCCAAACATCGTCGATGCACTGGTGCCGTGCAGCGGCAGGGGTAGAACAGACTCTCATCATCATCCGAATGCGAAAGGCAAATCCGGCACGTTTCAGGGCCCGCCATCCATCACTGAAGCTGTCGTGGTGTTTTAGCGTGACCCGTGGGAATCTTGAGACAAAGCTCCACACTGCTCCTCACACTCCTCTATTCTTTCCAGGACTCACCAACCAAAAAACATGGTTGCTTCAGTGTGGTATAGAAGATCTCCCAATCACATAATAGCAAACGGATGGAATACTTGTTTCAGATTGCTTTATAATCACATGCAAATATATAAAATAATGTATGTATATGTATATATGTATATAAGATTATATAAGTACATGTCTCGTATGTATTTATATATATATATATATACATACATACGTACACCAACATCGGTGAACGACACACATTTCCCTTTGTGTTTGTTCATTTGTGGTTTCATGGTTGCTTGCTTGCTTGCTTGCTTGTCTGTTTGTTTGTTTGTTTGTTTGTTTGTTTGTTTGTTTAGCGTTCCAGAAAACCATCCATCTGAGTGACTGTGTCACATCACAGGGTTGCTCCCTGAAGTTCATAAATGGCTGTATTGGGATCTGATAGTTAAACAATGAGTGTACCATAATGTATTAGCCAAGTTACATCCTATGAATCTTGGCTTTTGATACTGTGTTTTAGTGATTTCATGCCATGGCACTCATAGTTTTGGGTATATTTTAGTAATGCTTACCATCATACAAAATTCAATTTTCTGTCCGTGTGGATTTTCCTTCAGAAATCCATTTCTCACACCTAAAGCCATCCATTCACATCCCATGAAGTTCATGCTTCCAAGCCATCCCCATCCCCCCATCCCCGGTCCCACATCTCTCCTGCTTCAGCCGCGCCCGGCTCGGCATGCTCGGCTGGCTTTTCCTCGCCCAGCACCACGGCTTTGCGGCCAATCTTCTCAGGCCTGCGCAGGGTATGGCTGTACCACCAGTGTTTTGACCCCAGTCATATATATATATATATATACCAACATAGCCAAAATTGCAAGAATAGTTACTCCTCCCGAAAAAAGAAACATTTTTTTAGATTTCTCGCAATTCTCCGGGTTGATTGGGGGATTCTCGCAACAGCCAGGTTTTCTCGCAACTCTTTTTTTTCTCCCTAATTTTCTTCATCTCCCTGTGCATGACGCCTCATAGAGGTCAAGTAGAGATCATATGTCCTTTGGACAGTAATCTTTGGAGATACTCGTCTAGAATACCTACTTATCACCCCTACAAAAGATTCGTCGACCTGACACCCGTCGACCAATGGTGATTCGCACCACTCATGAGCCAGGCTCCACTGTTCTAAAAAGCGGTAGCCATGGAAAAGCATATGCAGCTTAGGATGTATTGGGTACCTAGGCTCACAAAGCTGGACAGAAACCTGAGCCAATCTCTTGTTGGCACGGACAGACAGCAAACCCCTGCGAGCAACTTCTGCCGCAACGGTGCAATGTAGCCAGGCTCCATTGCTGTAAAGCAACCTGAAAAGCTCATTGGTGTTCCGGATGACCACTGCAATCAAGGGAACTCTGGTGTCAAGGTCGGCCAAATGGTTAACCACATCATCGGTCAGGAAGCTTTCCATCCATTCCTTAAGTTGTTCCCAAACTTAAACATAATTGCTATGCAAGCCAGCTTAAGTAACCCATAGATGATAATATTTAAAACACATTTAAATTCAAGAGACTCAATTGTGATCAAATTTATATAGTTTCTCCCGTTGGGTTTATGTTCAAGATAACTTCATTTAAAAAAGCTCTAGTGAGTTTAGCATGCTTGATTTAGGAATAATATCCAAGTTTCCATGAGCAAGGTGGTCGTTGCACCTTTTTGCCATCCTCCTTCAGGCCAGTCCAAGGACGTTTTAAAACCCATGGTGTCACGCCCAATTTTGGTCAGGTAGGGGCGCTCCTCAATGCCAAACAAAGACAAAGGAAACAAATGAAAATGCAAAACTCAAACCTATCAGCACCCCAAAAGCACCTAAAACATATAATAAAACTGTATGTTTTAATGAGCATCTTTCCTGGATCTGCAATATTCCATCCATCGAACTGTCATTGATTGGAACCTGGCATCCACACCACCACCTGGAAAAAGCATCTCAAACTTTTGCAAGACCACCAACGAGCTTGATATAAAGTACTTTCCAGCACCTAAATGCCAGTTGTGGAAGATGTCCGGGCGAAATAGCCAAGCAGGCATGCCCGTCTCACTTGGCAGCATCTCCACGAAAGGAGAGATAGAGTCCCAAGGAGCTTGTGCCTCAGAATTTCCGTAGCATGGTCGACCCTAAAAAACCATGAGCCATTGCAGAAATATTTAAGCCAAGAAACGGCCGCGCTGTGCATGGTCGTTTCGAAGCGGGGAGATGATCCAAAATCTTCGAAAGGAAAATTATGAACTCCTCCAAGACATAGATGGCACACTCCACCAGCCTCCATGGTCGATTCTCCCCTCTTGGGGGCTCTTCTGAAGTGTCTGCAAAGGTGTCCAGCCTCGATGAGCCATGGCCAGTCGCCCTTGACCCCTGTCACTCCAAGACGGAAGGTCTCCATAGTTTCGCCAAACCGAAGTGCTATTCCATCTCTCATCAAATTGTTCAGATCAGAAGCTACCAGCCGCATCCCATCGTCCAAAGCTTCTGGACAATCAGAATAAGTTTCTTTCAGCGCTGCAAACGACAGAAAGCGACACACTTCCTGAGGCAGCAGGCAGTATTGTGAAAGAAATTACATCAATTATGTGGGGTTCATCTTGCCCAAGGCAAAAAAGGTCAACAGCAAATAAAAATGGACATGTTCAAGCCATGAAACACAATGTCCAAGCCTGCATGATGGTTGTAATATGTTGTAATGGGCAAATTTTCATGGTCGTAAAAAAAAAGGCTTGGGTGTCCAAATTGATTTCCAATTGCAGCCAAAGCAACATGTTCAAGCGTTGGCTTGCAACCTGCTCTTTGTCAGGGAGGCCAGCAGTCTTGCTTGTCCCTCGGCCAAGTACTGGTTGCCAGTTGATCAGCATAATTGGTGACTTCTTTTTGCCTGCAGAGCAGAAGCTTCAACACTACCTAGGACCTATAGGCTATATGTCCAGGAACCAAAAAAAAACAAAACTATAACTTTTGCAATATATAAGGGTCTTCTTCCTTCATCTCCATGTACTTTCACAGGCAGTGTCAGTTGGAGCTGCTCATTTGTCAGGATGCTGAAAATTTCATTCGTCGGGTAAAGCCGTCTGAACCTGTCCCAGTAGATTTTCAGCTGCTGCTTGGAAGCTTCCAGGGTGGCCTCTGGCAGGATTAGGTCCAACCGATTCCAGCGATGTAGAGCTCGAATCATATCACTTGGCTTCAGCCACGGATAACCTTCGAAAACCAAACTTAGAACAAAGAAAAAGTGAAGGAAAAACCGGCATTGGTTTTACTGCTTCTAGCCATGCAGCCAAGTAACGTTCATCAGCCCCAATTTTACCATAGCTCATAGGTACCGGCAATCTCAAAGCTGCTTCATCCAAAGCTTTGAAGCATTCCCGTGCCTTCAGCGACAATAAGTTTTGAAGGAAAGAAAATGCAGAGACACCATTTATTGAAAAAGAATGCTGTTAATTAAGTGCAGGTCCTGCATGTTGAGACCCTCGGGCAAGTCTCTGCAACACCTTGTCATCTCGGTTGATCCCAAGCCTCTTGTCGTCCTCCAGAACTGCTTTTGCATGTTCTGCAAGTTGGATTGCAGGAGCCTCAGTCGGAGCTGATAATATAGCAAAAATCAACAGGAATTCAACTATAAGTCAAGCATCATTGATCTATCCAACTTGATAAACCCCTGTAATGCATATAATATAAATCAGGATTCTGGGGCCTGGGTTTTAATTTTGGAGGGTTTCTGGGTGTTAAAACTGGTTTTTGAATGGTGCAGGATACATATCAAAACGGTGTTGGCTCTGCACTATTCGTTAGTGGTGTTTTATCCAATTCTGCTCTGGTTTATATATGCGTGGTTTATTCAGGCTACCCCCGTCCAGGTCAGCCCAGGTCCGCCTAAGTCTGCCCAGGTCAATCCCAACTTGCAGGTTCTCCCAGGTTCTCCCAGGTTCTCCCAGGAAATTAGTGATTTCCTGCAATTTTGTGGGTTTCCGGGATTTCCTGGGAGAACCTGGGTGTTATTTTCTGCGATTTTGTGGGGTTTCCCGGATTTCCTGGGAGAACCTGGGTGTTATTTTCTGTGTTTTTGTGGGTTTCCGGGATTTCCTGGGAGAACCTGGGTGTTATTTTCTGTGTTTTTGTGGGTTTCCGGGATTTCCTGGGAGAACCTGGGTGTTATTTTCTGCGCTTTTGTGGGGTTTCCGGGATTTCCTGGGAGAACCTGGGTGGAAACAGTTGGGGATCGGCCTGGGAGAGCTGCAAGAGTTAGTTCGGGGAAAAGTGGCTGGAGGGTGGCCCGCTATTTTGACCCGCAATTTCTAAATTTCTGCCGCAGGCGTTGCCGCCCCCTTTGGCCTGCAGGTTTGCCACGCTTTAAAGTTTAGTTATAAGCATTACAGGGGTATAGCAATATCCAACTTTTAAAGGTAAAAGAGCCGCGAACTTCAGTGAATGGCACTCTCATTTTTTTCACTCATTTCAAAGCTGGTAAAGAAGCACTCACCGATGCCATTTAGCTGGTGAAAAAGTGCGATTCCGTGGCCCCTGAACGGTTCTGCAGGGTATTCCATATCTCTTCTAAAGAGATGGCTCGGCCAAGATATGGACAGTTGTCCTAAACTCATAATTTCACTCATTTCAAAGCTGGTAAAGAAGCACTCACCAATGCCATTTAGCATGCTGGTGAAAAAGTGCAATTCCGTGGCCCCTGAACGGTTCAGCAGGGTATTCCATATCTCTTCTAAAGAGATTGCTCGGCCAAGATATGGACACTTTTGTCCTAAACCTAAACCTCATTGATAATGTGCCACTCATCGTCGTGGGTTCCATCCGCAGCACGCTCCTCCATCTCAAAGTCGGGATCAAGCCATTGAAGGACCTCGGCCACAAAGTGACCTTGCACCAGCTGGAACTGCCATCTGCTGAAGTTGTGAACCGTAGGAGACCAAAAGATCCTCATAAGGTCGAGGTCTATCCAAGCGACGAAAAGGATTCGCCTGGTCGCAGAACGTTGCTCCACCCATTGATCCGAAGCCCCACAGCCACCGAACTGGCGGAAAGTGAGGTTTCTCCTTTTAATGTGGCTGTCTGATGCACAAGCGAACTCCGTCAGCGTCAACCAATCATCTGCGGATTCGAAGGTTCCCTGTGCTCCACATGCCAGCTTGCCAGTCTTCGTCCTCCGGATGAAGTAGCAACGCTTCGTATCGGAGTCAGTAAGAAGCCATTCGCTTCCTCTGCCGGAACCTTCGTGCATCCACTTCCCCACTGTGAGGACCATCGTAGGCAAAGCTAAACAGGGAACGGACAGCGACCGAGGAGGACCTTGAACCAGCTGAAATATAGCGGCTATAATGTGGTTGGCTATTGTATTATAATTAATATAATTAACCCTGAAATCCGGTAATCCTTAAGCCTCAAGATTCTTTACGGATTAATTTTAATCTTCGAAACCTACATCCTTTGACCCTCAAGGTCTTTAACCCTAAGTGTATAAGTTAGGGCTTAACACTTTCAGGGGCTGAGATAAATTGAAGTGTACAGTTAGGGCTTACCACTTTCAGGGTCTGAGATAAATTGAAGTTTATAGTTAGGGCTTAACACTTTCAGGGGCTGAGATAAATTAAAGCTTAATAGGGCTTAAGACTTTAAAGAGTTGACATAAATTGAAGTTTAAATCTTAGGGTTTGAGACTGTAAGGGGCTGAGATTAGTTGAAGTCTATAGTTAGGGCTTAAGACTTTAAGGGGCTTAAGACTTCGAAGGGCTCAGTTCTAAGCCTACTTGTTCCATGCAACTACAATTTTATTTAAGTTATCAGTTCTAGTTTGAATCATTTGAGATAAGTTAAGTGATTTTGGGATAAAGGTTTCACTGCGGGCTGAGTCATTTTGCCCCCACCTTAATGCTTCCAAGCAACACCTCTCCCCAAACTCCGGGCAAGACTTATAGCAGTGCTGCTAGGGCCAGCTACTTGACAGCGCTTTGCAAACTTACCTGGCATGTGATTTCAGTAGGTGAAGTCGTTCCGGTGAGTTTCAAAAATAGTCGTTGTTGCAATGCTCAAGTCAACTTGTTTAACTTTTTCACAGCAAGCTTCTGCGCAGAGATCACATGAAGCACACGCCCGCTAGTATTGTAGCAGGATAGGTACTGATTCCAAGATTAGCTGGCCATATGGTCACAGCCAAAAGTTCCCCATTGCTGTGAACAGCAGAGCCGAAACAAACAGCTGCACACATCACACACACACACGTTTTTTTTGTTTGGTGCTGATGCTGCGGCTTGCTGATAGGGATTTGTTAACCATTTGCCTTGAGTTGTTTTACCTGCAGCTGCTGCTAACTAAACTCTGCTATCACTACCCACGCACCTGCTAGTTCAAGCAGGAAGGTGTCCAGGCTATAGAAGGTGCATTTTACATCATTTTACGCTGATGGCATTTTGCTCTTGTTGGCCTTGGTACCCTTCCTGGACTTCGGCGGCTTGGTCCCGGCAACCTCAGGGGCAACCTGATCATCAGAACGAGGACGCTTGCTGCCATTGCCATTGCCTTTCTTCGTCTCGGCCAAGAGCAATTTGAACGTGTGCTCGGCAGCCATGATCTTGATGCACCTGCGGCGTAATTTTTTTTTGGGGGGGGTGGTGGGGTTGTAGTTTAAGCGATGGTTTCCTATTTTTTGACCGTGCATGGTATCATATTTGAAAAGATGCATCGTTTTTGCCAGGCTACGGATTGCGAGCAGACTCCTTCGCATCTGTGAACTGCTTCTGCAACCTGAACTCAGGGCAATTTAAAGTACCAAATAAAAATAGTATCGAACATCATATAAAAGTTCGCTTCTACCTGAACTCAGGGCAATGTAAAGTACCAAATAAAAACAGTTTGGTCGTAGCAAGAAACTGATCCAGAGGGATGGTGCCAGCATCCAGCGCATGCTGTGATTCAGCAAGCTTCAAGAAAGCCCCATCAAAAGAGTCAATTAATCCACGCATGTCGGCCAGAAACCTGGCAGAAGTGTGAACAGGAGATCGAAAGGATATGGAAATGATAAAGTTTGGGGGTCAAGCAAAATTCAATGTGAAATGGGGACGAAATATCCCAATGGTTGGTTAACCAAATGATCCTATAAAAAATGATGATTTCGGAGTATCCCAGATCACTATTTTAGGAAACTATGAAGAAGCCAAGGAGCTTTTGCAACCTGGAATTATCCGCAGAGCCACCTTCAAGTTGGCTGACCCAACTGACCACCGAGCTCGCCTTCTGATGCACGGACTCTGTAAACTGCTTCATTTGTTCCTTCATTTCATCAAGCGTTCCACATTGCAGAGCCCCTACTTTCCCAGGTTCACCCTCTTGAACTCCACGCGTGTCCATCAAAGCCATTTGTTCTGGCTTCGAAGCAGGGAGGTCCTCCAAGGACAAAACAATCCTTTTGTGATAGCACCTTTTGTCAGTTTCTAACCTGAGAAAAAACAGTTTGCAAAAGGTCCTTCTCACCGATTTCCTCAGCTTCTTGCCAGCGCTCCAGCTCGGAACGTCGAACCTTGACAGTGTCAGCCGTTTCAACGAAGAACTCTTGGATGTTGCTGTCATACTTCCAGTTCCTGCAGGTGTGCTTCTAAGTGAACTGCAAGATGTATCAATCCTACTAAGTCATTTTCATGAAACAAAATGTTAATTAAGCTGACCCTGCGATGAAGATAATTGAAATTAAACTATTTCATCTTTAAGATTGATTAGTGCTCGCATGTTCCTTCTTATTTTCTCACAAAGTACTGGTTTGAAAGCGACCTGCTATGATCCACCATGAAAGCCCGGAGTTCAGAGCAGCAACTTATAGCCTTAAGATCTGTAACTTAAACTATAAATTAAAATAGTTATAAGTCTCGGCATTATCTTATCAAGAATTATAAAGGTTTTAACGTAAAGTTAGATGATAATCTTGAGTTTCACTGATTGATAGAAATTTGAGTTACGGTTGAAAAATAAAGTAAGCTAATGTAAGGTTAATCTGAAGCTTCACTGGCTGATAGATCTTATTTACGAATTGGTGAAGTAACATAGTCCTGAGTTCAGAGTAGTAATTATGGCCTTAAGATCTACAAGTTAAACTATTATAATTTAAATTAATTAAGTCTCAGCCTTACCTTGTTCAGACTTAAATGTCTTAACTTAAAGTTAGATCAATCTCGAGTTTGACTGATTGACAGATTTGAGTTACGATTTTAAATAAAGTAACATAAAGTAACATTAGTCTGAAGTTTCACTGCCATAGATCTTATAACATAGCCCTGAGTTCAGAGCAGTAACTATAGGGCCTTAAGATCTGCAAGTTAAACTATTATAATTTAACAGTATTAATTAAGCCTCAGCCTAGTTCAGACTTAAAGGTTGTAACTTAAATTTAGAAAACATGCATGTTATGGGTTTAAAAATGTCCTGAAAGCAAGAATGTTGGATTGAGAAAGCAAGCATGTTATGGAGTGACAAATGCCAGCAGTCCTCACCAAGACGCTTTTGAAGCGCAAACAGTAAGCTTTGATTTTCGAGATCAAAGACCTCAGGATGAATTGAAAAACCAGTGTTGAACAATCAATCTTGACAACCAAAAAACAAAAGCTTGCGATTGAATTTACCCAAGATACGCTGAGTATGAGAGCTCCTTCTGCATGCGCTCCTCGGTGTACCAGCCCCCCTCCACTTCTTCTTCTTTGGAGCGCTGCGTCTCCTTGATGCGCAAGATCTGCTTCTGGAACTCGTCCTCCAGGGATAGGAAGATTAAAAGTAAATCTATAACAGTTAAAATTCATGAGTTAATATTATGACTTAAGTTCCCATTTCATCACCCATGGCCTTCACCAGTTTCCGGGAAGTGGTCGTGCTTTCAAACCCATGCATTTTGAGCGCACGAACCAACGCCAAAGAGAGCATGTCTCTGTCGCCAGTCATCCATTCCTGGTGGATATCCTGGGACACGTTCAACCGGCCAGTTCCCGTTTTCGAGCACAGCCGCTTGAGTCTCATATAGAGTGCATGCGGCGTCAGCTCCTGCTTTACGATGTGCTTTTCCAACTTATCAACACACAAATTTCCGATAATGTTTATTGATGGTGTTAAGGATGTATTAAGGGTTATTTTCCATTACAGGCTCAAGGATGTTCAGGGACTTGTAAGGGTAATATATAATTTGTTTTAAAATTTAACCTAAGATAAATTGAGGCTTTATTTTCATATAGCGAACTAGTTTCCGCAATCACTGCTATGTCCTTGTGCGACAAGTCCAACTCCTCCGCCATGTCTTCCTCCCCAAGCTTCAGCATGCCATCAGGTGCATCAGGTGCACCAGGTGCATCAGGTGCATGTGCTAAACCAGCCTCTGGGCTAGCAGCATCTGCAGATCTAGGCGTTGCTTCTGGTGTAAAGAGTGGCTTTTGATTCGGGGGCGAAGTCATGGGAGAGGACTTCAGTCGTCGCAACTCGGCCAGCTCCTTTGCCATCTCTAGATTCTGAAGCCTGATTTGCTCCATCTCAGTCTCATTCATCTCAGCGGAGTCCTTTCTATGGCCCGAGGGCACAGCATGTCCATGATCCGCCACAGGCTCAGGAGTGCCGTCATCCTCGGTCTCACCAAGTCTCAGGGTGGGAGCATGCAATAACTTGGCAGTGGCCTCATCCATCGTGTCATCGTCAGCTTGGGTTGCTGCCAGCCACTCCTCATCAGGGAGCTCCTCATCAGAATCCAAGGCCTTGACAAAGGCCGAAGAAGCCTGCAACATTGTTGTTATTAATATTGTTGAAAGAACATCATATGTTGTGCTAAAAATTAATTCAAACCATTAAAACCCCTTGACATGTTGAAAATTCATTCAACCCCCTTGACATGTTTTGCTCAACCCCTAGCCTTGGAACTGGAACGCTCCACAGTCTCTTTCTTGACGGCCAGCTTCTGGTCATGACTTGAACCCACACCCATGTCATCACTTGGTACGACTGGAGGCGCAAGCCCAGATCTCGCAGGTGTTGCAACTGGCAAAGTTTCCTCTTCAGCAGCATCACTGGCCTTTAGGGCGGCCATGGTCGTGAATTATTTATATAAATATACCGATCAAAAAACATTTAACATGCATGAAACCTACCACTTAAATATTACACAGTATAAGTTTGGGTCTGTTAGGCTTTCCAACCTTCTTCAAGTCAGAAAGCATTGCATCCAGCAGCATTTGTTCTTGCTGCTCATGTTTCACAAACAGCCAGCGTTCCTTAGATACTACACAAAACAGTGAAAAGAAGCAATCAACAGTGAAGCAACCCACAAATTCAGCTGTGGCTCGACTTGGGGCAAGTGATCTCCAATGTCGTGCTGCTCAAGCTGCACATTGGTCTCCTTGCGCCGTGAATTAATTAAAAATAGCTTTTGTTCTGGTTAGAGATAACGATTTAATCTATCACTCTATGAATATCACATGTTAAATATGTGATTGTATCTTAAAAATCAGGTTTATGAACAGTAATTATAGACAGAAGTTCATTCCAGGCATTAATGACAGATTTATATTACATTAAGCAAAGTGTCAAACATAAATCGGTGAAACATCAGCTTAAATTATGATTTAAACTGCATTCAATTTAAAACAGACACTGGGTTATCTCATAAGTCTGATAAATCGGAATTGGGTTCATAAAAAATTGAAGTGGGTTAAATTATTTTTGGAAACATTAACATAAGTGTCGCTCCTCAAGGAGTTTCTGGATATCGTCTGCCGAAAGGTCTGCCGTCTCACTCAAGAGGTGGCGTCGCTGCTGGACAACCATGGCATCAGGAGACATTGAAGCCATTGAATCAACGACTTGTGCAGCACCCCTAACAAGTTCTGAACACGACCAGGACCTGCTTTGAAAGCGAGACACCATATCTATCACTTTGGGCCAAAAACACCTTGGATAGGCCAAGTCAGTAAGCTTTGGCATCATATTTGCATATTTCTGCGTTTCTGGGCAAGAAAAACCACAAAAACACAAAAAATGTTCATGTGTTTTTTTCACGTTTATTACGAGATACATGCTCAAACTCCGCTATTTCTCGCAACTTTTTCTCGCAACGAATCCGCTATTTCTCGCAACTAGTCCGGGAAATTCTCGCAACGAGTCCGGGTACGTATTTTCTCCGCTTCGTAGTTGCATTTTCTCCGGCCCCTTGAGCAACTTTTTGAATTTCTCCGGGTACATTTTTGTGAGTTACATGATGCTTTTAGCAATCCTTAAAATTACCTTCAAATTGCTAAAAATCTTTCAACTCAGTAGGTTGTTGGGAAAACACGCTTCCACCGGTCTGGAACCCTAAGGTTGGTGGAGCCTCTCATATATATACAAGCTTCAAGTATATATGCCTCAGACCATTCCTCTGGGTTCCACTCCAAGGCTTCGAATTGAGCTGGAGCATCCCAACCACATGCATCTTGGGGTAGTACTGGTTGACCTTGTCCATGTTTCTGGAGTTGGGGTAGGAAGCGCAGAATGCGAAGACCAAATGAAATTGGATATGACTGTGTGCCCTTCAGCCATCGATTGCCTTGGAATTGGGTCTTGTTTCCCTTCTTGGTTTTGGTTGTAGTTTTGAGGACGCAAGCTGCACGTGCTTTCTTCGAGAGAACACCTCGGTCCAAAATGTGAATCTCTTGGCTGTTTGCCCAGGCCCGATGGCGTTTCCTGGCCAGGTGTTCATAAAACACACAAAAAATAGAAATAAATCGTGAAAAAGTACTGATACAATTGCATCCCGATTTCATCATACTACAGAAAATTTACTCGTTTTTGTGATAGCAAGCTGCGGGCTAAGGGCACCATAGTGCCTGGCCCACCATCCTACTCGCCAAGCACGAACTCGAAGCATAAATTCCTCCCACCGGGGGTACCATGGCAAACGCGAGCTCGAAGGCTGCTCCGTTGCCCAGGTTCCGCCAAGACATGTAACTAAATACTGTAGCAGCACTACTCTGGAAAGAAGACAATTTCCAACCTCAGAACTATAATTGATCAGCACAAAGCAAGCCCCGAAAATCCAAAAAAAACACAAATCTACTCGAAAAACTTTGATCAAAATCTAAATTGCTGGCCAAAATTCCTGAACATGAGGCAAAGCACAATTTCCCCATGGAGTAGCTGGTGTGCGTTTGCTCGTGCCAACATTGATTGCAGAAAAGGAAGTGCAAACCACAGCAAATAGTGCCAGGAATCCAGACGGGTTGGCGTTCAGGAGCACCCATATGCAAAGCCTCAATAGCAAAGGGTGGTCAGCATCAAGTCCCAAAGTTTTGTTTGCTTTTTGTACTTTGAAAATTTCAAAGTTCTTCAGTGTTTGACGAGGCTCGCTAGGCCTGCTGCTGTTGTCATGTCGAAGCTGTTCTGCTTGCCTTTTCGTACAGTCATCTTGCCATAGTTGATGTCCAGCTGGGCAGTGCTGTAATAAGCAAATTTCGCACTTCTCCCGACATGGCCATCTCCGGCAAAAAATTCACACAGACCAAACGCCTGCAGGGACAGCTTCCATAATTATACCATTAACTGCACATGGTTGTTTTTTCAGCATCCTGGCCTCAGGAACTGCTGGCATATTGCGAGCATAGTATACCATCACCGTCAGCCACACAAATGCCTGCAGGGATTTGAACAAAAAATGCACAAAAGGTTAAATTCTGGAGGGGATTACCATTTAACGTATTGTAAAAGAATTTTTTCAAGGTTTAAGCTAAAGCCCCAGCTCCTTTGGCACCCGAAGAAGCATCATCCTCAAACAGAGCATGTCGAGCTCCTCATCAGTCTTCACGGCCCAATGCGCCATGGCTGCAATAGGTGCAATATTAATTAAGTTAAATCTAAGTCGTCTTGACTTTTATAATTATGAGTCCAATTATAGAATTTAGATTAATTAATTATAAACACAAACTAGCGTGGTTTGTGGGCCCAGTTTTTATGAAGTCCTTGAAGCCCAGACTCTGGATTACAAATTATACATGTTATTAATGACACAAATTAGTGTGGTGGATGGGCCCACTTTATATGAAGTCCATGAGGCCGAGACTCTAAATTACATGTCATTAATGACACAAATTAGTGTGGTTTGTGTGGCCTCAGTTTATATGAAGTCCCTAGAGCCGAGACTCTGAATTACAAATATGTTTTTAATGGAAATGCAGAGAGCAGTAGAGGTTACAATGAACATTGCATCAAAAACAACTTGCCGGCCGCACCATTCACATGCTGCCGGGTATGAGGTGGTTGAGGCCACTGCAAAGGTTGCTGCTCAGAAGGCTGCCGCTGCAAAGGTTTCCGCTGGCATCTGGCTGCCGGCACTCGGCGACAGCGAGCTGCAACCTTCACCATAGGCACCTGTCCAGGGAGAAAATCAACCGCAAAATGATATGATATGTGCATGATGCACTCAACATGTACTTTTCCAGAAATTGACTCCAGTGTGGCACTCCTTTTTCCTCAAGACTGGCAAATCCAATTTGCTATTCCTGCCGTGCCATGCCATGCCGTGCCACATGGCATCAAGGCAATTGTCAACTGCCATGAACATGGGGGTCCTTTAAACAAAATGATAGTGCAAGAGCTTCGTGGAACATTTTGCTATAGCATTTCTTTTCATTTCCATTAATTTCAAATACCCCCCACATTCAATTTAAGTTTCTAACTCCGGCTCCGTTGCTTGTCTCTCCTGCGAACACGGTCTCGGTCACGACCTTCACGTTCGCCACGATCACGACGTTTCTCACGTCGCTCTCCTGCAGGATCCATCGTCCTTGCCCTGCAGGAAACCTTTGGAGTCGCTTCCATCACTGACCTCGCTCGACGAGGTTCAGGTTCCAGTTCTGATTCGGGAGGTGTCACCCCAGCTGGCAGTGAAGGAACTTCTGGTCGAGGTGGTCCACCTGCATGGATCAGCAGCGCACAGATTAATTTAGATAACTTAATTAAATGAAATATAATATCGATTAGATTAAATGTATTAATTCGATTAATTGTAAATTAATAGGGCTTAATAAAATGTAAATTGAAAAAGGTTCAAGGGTCGAAACTGATCAGGACATTAAGGGTCGAAACATATTAGGGTTGTGGAAAACTTTCCCAACTATTTTGAAAACAGGTTATGGCTAAACTGAACTTTAGGTGCAGTGAAAGTTGTAACAGAATGAACTCAAAGCTTTGATTTAAAACCAAGTCACTTTTTGGAGCAAGTTGCCACCCTCGCTCACTCAGGAAGTGCAGGAAGGCACTTAGGTTCCGGGCTTGCTCAGTGCCTGGAGGGACCAACGAAGCTAGCCCAGCTGATGTCAGTGGAGGTCCAAGTCCATGTGGGAATGAGGCCTCCGTTGAGTTCAGCACCAACGATTAAAAAAAACTGGCAAAAAAAAACATGGAAAAACATAAAAGCATAATAAAAATAACATACATTAAATTAACCAGTGGAGTTGTTAGTCTTCTTATTAAATTGATTGATTAAAATCTTATGACATAAAAAATTAATTGCTTTTAATTAATGGAACAGGAGCTTCTGCAGCAGGTGTGGCAGGAGCAGCTGCTCTTGGCTCCGGGGCTGGCTCCGACGCTGTTGGATGGCCAGGTGGGTTGGCCGGTTCTGGAGGCCTCATGCGGCCCAAGGTACCTGGGCATGCACATATATGGCAATATGTTCATTTTGTTTTTGACTTGGATTGAGGCCTAAATGAATCGTAATAGTAATATCGCATGATCAAATAGGATGAACTATATAGAAACGATTTGTAAACAAAGGGACAAATTGAACTAAAATTATAGCTATAATTCCTATAGCCCAAGTGCGGGGGGTTTCCACATCCCTTGCTTCTTCTTTTTCTGGCAGCTCATCAGCAGTGCCAAGATCTGGAGGGCTGCCGGCATCCTGCTACATTGCAAGTGTGCGAAACAAATGAACAACATTGAATAACAAACAAAATTAAAAAAAAAAGAACTCAAAAACACAGGTTTGGGAACCACAGTCCTCTTCCACATTGGCCTCCTCATCGGTTGGACCTTCCAAAGGGCCAGTTTCGTCCA